ACGTTTATAGATTTTAAATAACTTAACTGAACATCTTTTCAATCACTTGATCTCGCGATTGCACCTAGTAACTCTTGGTTGCTTACGTACCCTTAACAAGGGATCAAGCCAAACGTAGTTCTTTCGTACATTCTTTTCAACTTTTCCAATCCTCAGCATAGTTGATACTCAGAAAATATGCAGGCCATTCCTTGAATTTCCTCTAGTTCATAATTCAATTTATATATATAATTTATATGTTATACTCACATAAGGCTTAGGGTAAATTACTCAAATGGTTCTCAAATTTGTACTCGATTTACAATTTGCTCTCTCTCTCTCTCTCTCTCTCTCTCTCTCTCTCTCTCTCTCTCTCTCTCTCTCATGGCCACCACCCTCAAGCTCCAACCCCAAAACCCATCCCACAACCACTCTCCACCCAAACCCATCCAACAACTACCCTCCACCCCAAGCCCCATGAACCCATACCCCCACCACCCTCCTCCCCACCTCATCACCCGCCAACCTCACCTCCCAAAATGACAGCCATTGTCAATTTCTCACCCTCCAAGTGCACTCTCCTCTCCTCCCACCTCACCTCCTCATCTCCCAAACTACCCAAACTCTTTCCCCACACCCACAACACCCAATCCCTCCCTCCACCAAAAGTTCCTCCAGAAGCTTTTAGAACCATCATCCTACTTTCCAGAACCTTCTCCTTCTTCCAACCCACCTGCCAAGTTCACGCCTTTGGAGCAGCAAGTGGTGGACGTCAATGGAGAGGTCTGTGGGGAATGGGGGAGAAGAAATTTGGTCTCATGATATTTTTTTTTCTTCTCTTTTTCTTCAATTATTTTCAAATTTTGTATTTATTTTAACCCTATTTTATTTGTTAATTATGAAAAGTCGTATTTACCCTAAAATTTGGTTAAATTAACAGAAAATTAGACAGTAGGACCAATGGAGCGATTGATATATAGTTAATGGACCATTTAGACTAATAATTTAATTGAGGGACCAAAATGTAAATCGAGTACAAATTTGAGGACCATTTGAGTAATTTACCCTAAGGCTTATATATAAATAAACATATATATCTAAATATATATCAACAGCGTAAGTGGAATATATATGTATATATATATATATATATTCCTCCTTTACTTGCAAAACAGATTTGTCACTTAAGAAAATAAGGGTGAACTGTATAAAATCCTTAAAACTTGTTTAGAAGCATTTCAAAACTTAAATTCTCTCCACCTAGGTGTACCCCCATTCCTGATCCGTCAATTCCATTATTACCGTCAATTCCATCCTCGCAGGCCTCGGAAACACAAAGTTAACCGAGCCGCATTCCTAGCAGGCCTCAGGGGACCATTAGTCAGCCTGAGCCGCATTCCTCGTAGGCCTCGGAGACACAAAATCAACCAGAGCCGCAATCCTCGCATCACACGGTTCAGGCGTCCCCGAAACTCGTAGGGCGTTATCAAAAATAACCAAACTGTTACAAGGCAACTAGGGGGGTACTCCTGTGGTGGGTTTGAAAAACCATATCTGAAACTTATCACAAACTTTCCCTTCATTCCACAAATCCATTTTCCGACCTTTATATCAACTTTCCAATAAATTGATTCTCAATCACACTTAAAATATATATTCCATATTCTGATAAAGCCAAGGTCCACGATTCATCATTTTCAACCACTAAATATATGTATTAAATATAGACATGCACTTAAATATTTAATTAGTTTACTAATCACGTCGAGCTTCGATTGACATCCATTCCATGACTAAAATAACAATCTTAGTAGCAATAGATATCTAAATAAATAAAAAAGTGAATAAATAACTAAATAAATAATCATTTTCCCTAGAAATTCCATCAAATATAATACACTTTCAAATAGCAAATAATAGAACTATGCCTATTTAGCAATCTATAAATAACTAAATATACTCAATCCATAACATGACTCAGATAACTCATTCTTGGTCAGGACTCGTTTGCATAGTCGTTTTAGTACTTCTCGAAAGGTAAAACTACTTCAGAAGACTCACGGTCATCCGAGGGATCAAACTGCCTAAACTTCGTCAACCGGGCCCATGGGGCCCATGACCTCTGATCACCAATACGGGTGTTCCTATAGGTTCACCACACTCTTCTAAACCTACCTTGGAAGTTTGGTCATAATAAAATGGTCAGATTGCTCACAATCGTACAATCGGACGGTTATCGTAAAACGCAAACTTTACCTTATTGAATCGGAACATCCGGGTTTCCGATTCACGATTTGCGAATTTCTACACGATACTAGAGGTGTCTAGATTAACATATATTAAATTGGAGTCAATCCAACGGCCCGAACATATCGAACCCGGATAATGCCTAATATGCGATATTCGACCGACGATCAAACAATATCCAAATTTATATCCGAGCATACCGTCATGCTTGGGACGAAATGAGGAGTATTTTAGGAGCCTAATACTAGCCAAATAGTTTTCCACGCGCCGTCACACGCGCCGGCAGCTCGTGGGTGCCCAAAAGCAATTCCGGCTATTGGAAAATCTCCAAACCGCCGGGAAAAACTTATACCTACATGATCAGCACCTAAAGTGGAGCAACTTTTGTTCTTGGACTTACCCCAAAAAGTCACCGAAAGTGGCCGGAATCGGAGGCCAAAAACCGGCCAAACTTCCATCGCTCATTTGACAACTTAAACGCATAAATAGATCCTAAATAACACAACCAGAAGATATAACACCACGAGAGGATGAGAAATCATACCTGGATTCCATGATTTGGTGGCCAGAGGAGTCCGAACGAGCTCCCGAATAATCACGTAAAATCCGGCCGTTTCTTAACGTTTTCCGTCCATAAAAGCGGCGGAACGGGGCTGAGATCAGTCGGGAAAGGAAGACGGAGAGGTGGCGGTCACTTTGGGTCCGATCCCGAGGCCAACCGTGGCCTGTGGTGGCGGCGGTGGCCCTTGGAAGCCACCGGCTGAACTGAAAAAATGGGGGAGGGGGTTCTGTCGCACCAGGGAGAGAGAGGGAGAGAGAAGATAAAAATCTGACTTTTGTAAAATTACTATTTTGCCCCTCAACGTATTTTGATCGTATCTTCTTCAATACAACTCGGATTTGAGCTCACTACGTGTCTACGGACTCGTTTCGACTTGCTCTACACAATGGTACAATCAGAATTCCCAAATTCCTTCCCAATCAAAAAGTCAACTTTAAACCTAATAAAATATTCACGGAATATTTTCGTCTTTTACTTGAATGAATTAATAATTAAAAATTGATTTCAGATCGGGTTGTTACATGCAATCTAATGGCTACGAGTAGAAATCCTTAACCAATCATTAACATAAAATATTTACTAGAGCCAGCGAAACCAAATTCTTCTCAACGGTATAGTATTTTTGAAAATAAAAAAGAATATACATCTATTATCTCCGGAAAACGTCAAAAGAGTATTTTAAAAAAATTAAAATAAGTAAAGAGGAAAACATAAAAACGCCATGAAGACATGCATATTGGAAGAAAACATTATAACCGCTGAAAGAAAAGTAAACAAAAGTGTCTTACTGCAAGCATATCTGCATGAAAGAAAAACATGCAGAATAAAGTAGTGCCTCCCACTGTTCCACATACAATTCTCATAACAATTTTCTTTCTGTTTACCCTAAAATAAACACGCCAAAACCCCTTTTTTATTCATTTAATATTATATCTGTACTTTCATCTGTTTTATAAGATTGGGTTAGGGAATTGAAAGCAAAAAGAGGCCCATTTTATTATTTTATTTTGTCAAAAGGCCTTTTATATTCAAAAAGTGAAGTCTAGATAAGTAAAGGGCCTATGCTAGTTTCTTTTATGAGTGGGCTTAAACAAATTTGGAGGCCCTAAATTTTTGGGAGCCTTGTGCAATCGCCTAGTCTACACAGGTTATGCTTCAGGCCTATCTTTAGCCCTCATATAGTATAAGTGAATAAATTTGATCCTTTGAGTAATTTAGGTAATTACTAAATACAACCATAACATATATGTTTTGAAATGTGCATATAAATCATTTTTAAGACTATGCAGATTTTTGTTATAAGGAATTCAGTGATCGAGCAAAGCATTGGACCACATTGAATGAGCCATATACCTTTAGTAATTGCAATACAAGAAATGCATATTTGTAACACCCAAAGATCAGATTCCTAAACAACTGATAAGTATGTCTTTTGAGTTATAAGAACACAGAAGTTGATATGTCAACCCCTTTTTGGATGAAAAGAAAATCTCCTTTAAAGGTGAAGCTCCTACCATGAATGATTAATGCTCTTAAAAGAAGAGAACACTCATTAGCTAATAGCTCGAGCCAAGGAACTTAAGTCTCATCAGGAATCCAAAATTTTGAGAAGATGTTACATAAATGAGATAGTAACTTATGACGTCGATCGTCTCAAAGTTGTAAAGAAAATTGATATAGCAAAGATCACTAAAACCTAGTACATATTGGCTATGACTTGTTAAGCGTCTCAAGTGCAAACACATTGTAAGCGGTTTTGCCCTCAGTGAAACTATGAACTCGAGCCCAGGCTCAAATTAAATTAATATTAATAATATAGTGGAAATGAAATTGTGATCGTTGGGGCAACAATATCATGCAAGATACTTAACTGAAAATATTGTACGGCAATTCTTAATTATAAATATAGTTAGAAATCATTATATTACTTATTATTACTATATTGATTGCAACGAAATCGTTCTTTTATAATTTGATTTAGATAGTAAAGGATAGCATGTAATGTCTGAGCTTCACAGTAGTAAAGTATAAAGCTAAACAGAGCCTTTCAATCGCAGAGTATTTCTTTCTTGCTCCGAGGTGGCAAAGCTTCCATGATAGACATTGCTTTGTTCTTGTCAATTTCTATTCCTCTTTGATGGACCAAGAAACCTAAGAAATTGCCAGCTTGAACTCCAAAAACGCATTTCTTGGGATTCATTTTCAACTTGTGCTATCTCATACTTAAGAATGCTTTCTTTAGATTGGATACATGATCTCCTTTTTCTGGAGACTTGATCACCACATCATCTATATAGACCTCTAGAGAATGACCTATCATGTCATGGAAAATAGAATTCATTGCCCTTTGATAAGTGGCTCCTGCATTTCTCAAACCAAAAGGCATTACAGTGTATTCAAAAACACCTATATGCCCTGGACACATGAAGGCTATCTTGTGGATGTCTTCTTTTGCCACCATTATTTGATTGTATCCTGTATTGCCATCCATGAATGATAGCATTTGATTGTGAGCAGCTTTGTCTACCAGCATGTCTGCCATAGGCATTGGATACTCATCTTTGGGAGATGTTGCATTCAGGTTTTTGTACTCCACACATATTCTGACTGCCCCTGTTTTCCTCTTAAGGACTAGTACAATATTGGACAACCAATCAGCATAAATGACTGGCTTGATCAAACTTGCTTTAGCCAGCCTTTCCACTTCTTCTTTGACTTTCAGTTCTGTCTCCATGGACATCCTTCTTCTGGCCTGCTTGACTGGTAGGTAACCTTCTTTTATTGGTAATTTGTGTTCCACCAATCCTCTATCCAGTCCAAGCATTTCATGATAGTGCCATGCGAAATAGTCTTTGAAATCATGCAAAAGTGCAATGATTTCATCCTTCAATGATTCTTCTAGCAACGTGCTAATGAAAGTAGGTCTGGGGTCCTCTTCTGTCCCCAAGTTTCTTGATCCTTTACTTCTGGCAGAGAGTCATCCAGTGCTGCTGGTGCAAATTCCAATTCTTCCGCTTGCAAATTTCCTTCCTGTTCTTCCATGTTCTCATGCATAAATTTTGCCATGTTAATGGCCGGACTATGCATGGAAAGTTTCCTTTCTTCGCAATATACCAACAATCTGTTTGTAATGGATTGAATTGTTGCAGCTCGATCCCTTTCTTTCTGGTTTGAACTATAGATCAGAATTTTGGAGGTTTAGGATGAAAGGCCTGTTCCAATCCTCTAGAGAACCAACCAAGCCTTCTCCAATGAGTTTCTGGGCCGTGACACCATAGAGATGGCCATTTTGGTTGACTCCAGTAAATGGACTAAGGACATCATGATAGTACCTGGCCTCAAAGCATAATGCAGATAGTAGGAATGGTTGTGGGTCGGCCTCCACTATTTCCATAAAACCCTCTTCATGCCAGAGGGCCAACTGTTGGTGTAGAGTGGAAAGAACACATAGACTCTGGTGGATGCAATCTCTGCCAAGCAGTGCATTGTAAGTGGTAGAAGTAGTGTCTACCACAAAAAGGCAATCTTCAGCTTCTTGGTTCCTATTATGACATCTACATCTAGTATTCCATGAGTCTTAGTGATGCCCCTAGCGAAGTTGGTGACTGTTAGGCGTGTTGGAATTTGATCTTTCTCTGTTCTGCCCATTTTAAACAGCAATCTATGAGGTAGAAGATTAATGGCTATACCTCAATCTACCATTACTTTGGGGATAGGAACACCCCCAAAGTTTGCTGTTATGAACAGGAGTCTAAGATGATTGGCTATTTCCATGGTAGGTTTGGAAAAGCACAGCTGTTCTGTGACCATTTTCATGGTAGTTCTACTTGTTCTGTCAGCATATATTTGTTGTTCTGGTGCCTTCTCCACTTCTGCCAACCTGCACTCGAAAGTCTCTTGTGATAGTACATCTCCTTCCAAAGTGTTCTCTTCTCCTTATGCTGCCCTGAACTTCTCTAGCAGGATAAACACCATATTAATGCCTAGATCACCTTGTAACAGGCTTTCTAATTCTGCACTGAAAGCCTCAGTTTCTTCATCTAGTTCTCAATCATACTCCATTTGTTCTTCTCTCCATATTCTTTTGTCCAGTCTTCTTGCTCACCTATTTCGGGGAGTCCAGTTTGGTCATCTGCAGATGGTTCGTAATCCAACTGTTCCTCTTCATATTCTTCAATCCAACCTTCTTGTCCTTCTACTAGAATAAGTCCGGATTGACCTTGTGACTGTGAAGGTTCTAACTGATTAATTAAGGGTGAGGTTGGATGGATGGTAGGCTTGCTTGGAACTTCTGTCTTTGTCAGCTCCTCTGGTTGATATGTTGTTTGTTTTGCCTGAGAATCTGCTTCTAGATTTTTCCCTTTTCTGGCAGAACTAACCTCTGGAAGTACCTGTGTGTTATCTTTATTCTTGAGGAAGGTGCAGTATTGCCTCTGGACTCTCCTTTTCTGTGTTCTGGTTAGCTCGAAAGTTGGTCTACCTTCTATGATAGTTGCCAAGTGCTTATCATTTCCGGGCATCTTAACTGGTATCTCCTTTTTTGGATGCTCTATCATTTTTCTATTGCGTTGGGTAGGCCTTTGATAGGTCTTTTGCCTAGCTATATCTCTAGGTGGTGCCAGAACTGGGCCCTGTTTGTATGATGTTCCAATCCTGTCAAAAACACTAGCTGTGAGTTGAATTTGCCCATCCAAAGTTAAATCCAACTCACTTTCGCATTTGCACTTGCTGCACAGAACTACTCCAATTGAAATTGTTGCTTTTGGACTCTGATTAGCCTATCTTGTGACTGTTCTGCCTATGTTGGGGCTAGCTTCTACTGTTAGTTTGCCTCTCTTCTGTTCTGACCAATTTAAGTTGACCATATTGACTTGAGGTTGGGGAAAAGGGTATGTTGTTAGTGAGGGAGGTTTCTCAGCCAGTTTTAGCCTTCCTGCTATTATTCCTCCTTGTATGACGTCTCTGAAAACAACACAATTATTGGTGGAGTGGTTCCAAGAATTGTGCCATCTGTAATACTGTCTGCCCTTGAGCTTCACTGGTTTGGGAAATCTGTGAGGCGTCTCTATCACTTTTTACAATAGCATCTCATCAAACAAGGCATCAATTTTGGTTAAATCGAAGGAATAAACTTTGTTCTGTGCTGGTTTGTTTGGAACAAACCCTCCTGTAAATGGCGGCGACGGCTTCTGATCCTTTGGTGGCTTTGTCAAAGCCTTGCAACTGATGAGATGTTTTAATTTTGCCATTTCTGCCACTGCAACTTCTCTTTCCTCCGAGCTTTCTGTGCCTTCTTCTGACTCTACCTCAATCAGATGTACTGAAGAAGTTGGGATTTTGTAATATGTGCCTTTAGAAGAGTTCCTTTTCTGTTGTTCTTCCCTAAGCAGCTCCTCGTATTTAGATGCTTTGTCTGCTACTTTTACCAGGTGTCCAAACAGGATCCCATCAAATCTCTTCCTCAGAGAGATCTTAAGGGCCGTTTGAGCCATTTGAATGGAGTCTCTTTCTTCCTTAGGTATCCGGCATTTCATCTTAAGCTTCCTAAACCTGGTTATGAAGTCTTGAACGGGCTCATCCTCACTCTGTTTAAGGGCTGCAAGATAACTGATGATGACCACTGGTTGAATTCTAAAGTAGTAGTCGTGGAAGACATTTTGCATATGTTCCCAAGTTTGAACAGAATTGGTTGGTAGGTTAGTATACCAGGTGAAGGCTTCTCCAGACAAAAAATTTCCAAAAATCCTTAGTTTTAGCAAAGGGTTTTTTTTCTATGGCTTTGCATTGGACAGAGAATCTGCCTATATGCTCAACTAATGAAGCATAGGTGTCCTTTCCATTGAACAAGGTGAAGTTTGGTACCTTAAAGCCTGGGGATAGAGGTATTTGATCAATATAAGCTAGATATGGCTTTCTGTAGGTGGGCCTTTCTCCTCTTCTGGCCTAAGGTTCCATCATCTCTCTTATCATCCTCTGTAGTGCTCCCGTGTCATTCAAGGCATTGATAGGATGTGGATTCCACCCCTGTTCTGGCTGGTTGTGTTCAATCCTCTATTCCACTTTGTATGGTCTGGGCAGAACTTCCTCCCTATGTTCTTTCTCTTCTTCGAAATCTGGATTATTCCTCCAGTTTGCCCCTGGTCTGTTCCTGTCATTGTTGGCAAAAGGTTGATTCCCCCTCTACCTCTCCTGCCTCTTGCTAGTGGAGGAAATGGATTGGGGTCCATCCTTTTAGGTCTGTAAGGCAACACAGCTGGTTGCTCAGGCAAAAGTGCTAAGGGCTAATCGCGTGGGGCCACTGGTCGTGGAATAGGTGGAGGTTCTGGTTGCTTCTGGGGGGCCTAAACTAGTGCAGGGCCTTTTGGAAGAACTAGAGTTTTGTGTTCTTGGACGGGAAGGGCTCTTCCACTCTGTCCAACTTGGATTTCTCCGTGTCCTGGCATTCCAGCTATCTGTGCAATGAGAGGATTCTCTTGGTATGGCCATGCCAGTCCTGGTGGAGGTCCAGAAGGTAGTTCTAGCTGTTGAACCACAACATCTGGGTTTGGAATTCTTGCTACAGCAGTCTCACGATCCTTCTTGAATTGTCTGTTGACTTGCAATTGCATCATGGTTGTCATGTTGTTTAGAGTATCCTGGCTCCTTTGTGCTGTGGCCTGTTGTCGGAGCACAGCCTCCTGTATCTCGTTTAACCTTCTGGAACCAGATCTTGAACATTTACTCCTGGTACTGCCATGGGCTGATTGCCTAGCATAACTTTCTTTTGACTCAAGTCTTTCTTGGAGAGCTGCTTGATCTCTTTCCATGGCACAGCGTGGATTCTGGGCTAAAACTTCAAATATTCATATACTAGAACATTTTTCTAGGAGTATGTGTATTAAGAAGTCCCACTTGGCGTGCCAAATTGTTCACACATTTTTTATCTTATCCTGTGAAGGTAGGATGAAGTTCCCTATTGACTCGAAAACCATTGACTGGTCAACAAGCCAACTCTCTTTTTGTGTATGAGCGTGCCACTGCTAGCAATAAAAAACCCTAAAAGACTTTGAAAACAGATAACTTGCGCCCCAAGTTAGTGATTCTGAACAAACTATTGTGAATTTGGGTAGAGAATATCTCCCAAGTAAGTTCTTTTTCTGCCTCAGGCTGGTGAGGACTGTCACAATTTTTCACAATACAAAAACTGGTAGCTTTGGCCAAAATAAATGATAAGAACGTGAATTGTTTTAGGTAGAACTGCCTTTTACAAAGCTCAGAAAAAGAAAGACCAACTCTAAAAAAGACAAAAGAGCATTGGACTTCAATTTCTGCTTGGATAGCTGCTTTTGAATTGGGCTGGATTGGATGTGTTTGTGCTGGATTGGATCGTCAACACCTTCAACTGATGAGTTTTAGCTGGAAATTGATACCAATGTTTGAGTTTGGCGAAGCTTCAATTTATTTCGGGCCATGGAAGGCATGCTGAATGGACAGAATTGAGGCCTCTTCAGTTTGGAGAGGGCAGAAGTGGCTGGATTGATGATCACTGAGTTGTTCTGCTTGACCAAAGCTTTCTGTAAATTTGTTGAGGTTTTCATACTTGTGGAAAAACCTTGACTCTGCTTGACTTGGCTTTGTGCTGAACCAAATTTATAACGACAGAAATCTTGTTTCTTTGAATTGAACCGAAACCAAAGATTTGAATTCTAGCTGACTTGTTTCTTGTGGCGCAATAAGCTTTGGTTGCTTCAGTGTTTGAAGGCTTTTGAGATTAATGGATCTTTTTGAGTTTGTCAATTGTGACTTTGAGAGTTTTTGTCTTGATTGATTTTTTTGGCTGTCGTTTGATTTGTTCACCTCCTCTCATATTTATAGGAAATGCTGGAGTGGGGTTTCTAATCTTTAAATAACGGGCGGCAGATTTTTCAAAGGAAAGATCTTTTATTTTAAATGCCACAAAAAGGGGAAGTTAATCTATTCTGGCATAGAAAAGCCAACAATAGTCAGTTCCTATGGTGATCACTTCTCTGCTTTTCCTATATATAAAAAACCTACTCCCTTCTTATTCTCTAACCGCCCTTTGTAAGAATGCAATCTGCCATGATGGTCAGTTTACTTTTCCTGATGAACAACTCCCTTGCTCCCTACTTATCTCATAAATGTAGTATGCTTATCTCTTGGAAATGTCATCTTCTTTTGGTGCAGAGTTTCTTTGCATATAAAATAGGGATTTTAATCTTCCTTTGGATGCGAAAATGGAGAAATCTTCCTGTAAGACCTGTCTTCATTAACTCCCTATCAACTCCTCTGAGATGGTTGAAAACTTTGACTTTTCTAAAGTTAGAAAGTCACATGGGGGCTCTTTTGAGAAAAGATCTGCTGATTTTGCATTTTGGGGTTAGAGATCAAATGGTGTGAATTTTTCAGAAGTTTAAAAGCTGTGTTAGTTTATTTCTACTTCCTGTAGATAAAAAGCCCAAATGTTATGTTTATGGGCCTCTTGACAAAAATGGACTGGGCGTGCCGAGAATTGGCCCAAACTCAAGGTAAACTTTGGTGGCTGCCAAAAACTGACATGGGCTTCTTTAATTTTGGGTTGGGCATGCCAAATTAGGCCCAAACACAACCTTCACAAACATGTTGCAAAGATTTCTCTAGCTTTGGAATACCATTCACAAGCACCCTTTTTGACAATTTATGCATATCCTTAAAATTCGTGTGAGCAAGCCTTTGATGCCATAAGACACTTGTATCATTTATAGCCTTGTTGCACACAGCTTGCCTAGCATAAGTTGTCCAATCAATACAATAGCAATTATCCCTTGACCTTGCTACACTCACAATATCATTTCCTCCTTCTCCAATGATCTTACACCTTGACTTAGAGAACCTAACTTCAACTACAGCATCATCACATAGTTGACTTACACTAATTAGATTGGATGTAAGTCCTTTGACATACCTAACATTCTTGAGCTGAGGCAACTCAAGGATATCCACAGTGCCTTCACCTATAACTTCAGACCAATGTCCCCTTCCAAAAGTCACAGTACCACCATCTAAAGGAGTAAGAGAGGAGAACACGATCATGTCACCAGACATATGTTTGGAGCAACCACTGCCAAAGTACCAAGTGTTGGTATTTGTGGCAGCAAGTGCAATGAGAATAACAAGTGCTTTTCACTGAGGTTTCAGGATCCAAGTAGGTCTAGAGTGAGAATGTTGTGAATGAGGAAGAGAGATTAATTGAGCAATCTTGGCAACTTCACTTACTAAATGCTCAACTTGTTTATGTAATGACCAGGGTTTTTTCTAGGGAGAGGAATCATGTTTCCTTTTCTGACCATTCTTAAATTAATGGCAAATTGGAATGATATGACCAACAATTCACACTTATGTCAAATAGGAACAAATTTAGTTTTCATTGTTTTAATTTGAAACTTAGTTGTATAAATGACTGTGGGTGTGACAATGGATGTAAAAGGAATGGTAGGCTTGACAAACTTAGTTAATTTTTCTGATTCACTTGGTTTTGAAGATCAAAGCCAAGTCCACTCTTATCCCCATGAAACTTTCCCATGTTTAACATTTTGTCAACCTTTTCTGATCTTATGGTCAAGCTAATGACTTTGCTTTTTGACTCATTCAACTCACTTAAGAGATTTTTGTTTGAGTTTTGAAACACAATATTGCTCTTTTTTAAGTATTCTTATTTGATTCTCAATATTTGCCTTGAGAGACACAAACTCATCTAGTTCATTTTCAAGACATATAATTCTGTCGTCAAGTTCCTTTTTTGTCTCTTTGAGAATCAAAATCTCATTTTGAAGCTCACAATGATTAGCCTCAATCTTAAGTTTCTCTTCTTTCAACGAAAAAGTTTCCTAGAACAACTAATCATATTTGCTGCGCAAGCTAGCATATGACAAATCATCTTGATTAGACTCTGCTCTAACAATTTCTTCATGAACTGAAGCAACAAAAGCAATTTGACTTTCATCATCATCTGATGAAGGCATATCCTGTTCACATTGAAAACTCTCGCTTTCACTCCAGGTCGCTTTCATGGCATTATCCTTGCCTTTGAAATATCTCCTTTAGTCAACATCATAGTGCCCAATGCCACCACAAGTGTAGCATTTCACTGAATTGCTGGACTTCTTAGAAATACTTTTACCCTCTCTCCTTCTCTCACTAGACATTTCATCAAACGGTCTAAACTTTTTATCATTTGATTGTCCATCTTCTCTTGCAAATTTTCCGTTATTCTTGAGAATTCTTCTCAATTTTTTGACAAAGACGGCCATTTCATCCTCAATTGCAGAGGACATTTTAGAGGGTTTCTTTGAAGATTCTTGCACTCCTTGGAGAGCAACATTTTAAAGTTTCTTTGAATCAATATCTTCCAAGTTAAGTTCCATTTCATAGGTTTTCAGTTTTCCTATAAGTTTCCCAATTCTAATTTGATTCAAATTCTGGACTTCCATGATGGCAGTTTTCTTTGGTGTAAATCTGGGAGGTAAGATTCTAAGAATTTTCTGAACTACATGTAGTTCATCAATAGCCTGACCTAGACCCCTTGCTTCACTAGTGATGCGTTCAACCTTTTCATAGAATTCAGAAATGGTTTCAATGTTTGACATCCTGATTTATTCAAACTCTGTTAGAACCATTTGCAGCTTAAGTTTTCTAACATGTTCCTCACCTTCATGAACAACCCTCAACTTGTCCCAAGCATGTTTTGCAGTGGGAATGTGCTGAATATCAGAAAATTGTGTACTAGACAATGCAATGACAAGTGCATTCTTAGCTTTCTTGTTGCAATTTGCAGTAGATGCCTTAGCTTCGGTGCATTCAATTCTAGGCTTAGGAACAGACTCACCATCAACAGTTCTGACAGGAAGTCTCCACTCTTTAGAGAGATAAGCATATGCACGCTCATGTAGTGCATCCAAGAAGATTTCAAACTTCTCTTTCCAAGCAGCATAGTTTGTGCTATCAAAATAAGGAGGAGAGTTGCAAGAACCAGCAACACAATCCTTTTCTACGTTGACAACACCTAAAACCCAATTTGTTTCCCTAGGATCTCTTCATTTGTTTTATGAGCTGGAGCTTTAATACCAACTGAAATTGATATTCAGGTGAATAGGGTAAACTAAAACCCCAATGGACAAATCAGACATGCAGGAATCAAACAGCAAACTAATCCTAATCAATGTGTGACTAGCCAACCCCAAGTCACAGACCAAATAACACATAGCAACCAAACATACACATTCAATCAACAAATCTCATACCCTTGTAAATCTAGAAAAAAGACTACATAACAGCCTAGGCACTTAGAAGGGCCCGTCAATCTAGGCATCTCTTGTGCTAACAACAACTAGAGTGATAGGTGTGTGTGAATCATTCATCAGCATTTCAGAGACCGCAGGTATAGTATGACTAATCATAACAGCAAGAACAACACAACATAAATGTTTACCCAGGAACCCATTATTGGGAAAAACAGGGGGTCATCACTCCGACCAGACAATCCACTAACAAGAAAAAATAGTTACACATATCAACATATTTTGTACTTTGGAGAAAATCAATTTTCTCAAGAAACCATTATTGGAGAAAATCAATCTTAAAATCTAAACTCTAGATCTAGAATGATATTTATGATTTAGGACATCGAGATGCAGATATAGTGATCACAAGCTGATTTTACGAAAAACGGGTTTTTCCAAAATCTCATAAACGTAACCTCACAACCTTCACAAACAAAAATACAGAGAAAATATCGAGCCTTCAAACTTTCCAAAAGTGCAAGGAATTTTTGTGAAGTGACGGCACCTTAAAAACTTGCCTCCTTATAGCAACGAGAGTAAAAAGCTGCCCTATAATAAAACCTACAATTGTCAGCAATGTACTGGCTATCAAATAAGATATAAAGAATTTTTTGGACAGAGGAGCAAAAGTTGGCAGAAAAGGTAAAATTGTACAATTAGGATGACAGGTCATCCAGGTGGACCAGCAACCAAAAATGCAATGCAATGCATGATTTCATTTTTACCTTTATTGAAAAGTGTCATTGCCTCGTTGAAAAAAGCATCGTGACAATCATTTTGTGAGGTCCACAATAAGCCATCAACCTTAATCTAATCTAAAATCTTTCGAGCAAGCTATTACAAGGAGAAATACAAGTGTCAAGAAAAGCTAAAAACCGATTCGTTCATTACAACCTTAGAGCATCTCCACCCACAAGGGCTAAGTCTAAGGCAAGGGCAAGCAAGGGCTGCCACTATTCACGTGAATAGTGTCAGCCTTTGCATTTGTGGTTCCACCCATGAGGGCAAAGTCTAGGGCAAGTCTAAGGCAATTACTATTCATTGTACTTTATTTCCTATTTGTTTATACTTTAAACTATTAATTTTGATAAGCTTTTTAGATTATATTTTCGGTTGTCACGTGTCACTATTTATTATAAAATTTTCATTTAAAATTTAAGATAACATTTTTCGAATAAAATTTTCAAATAAAATTTTTGGATAAAATTTTTCGAATAACATTTTTGGTTTTGCCTTGACTAATCTATTAAAAAAAAAGAAATTGGAAATGCATAGAAATAAAAAAATAAAAAAAGAATTAAATTGAATAAATTTATTTTTTTTTTTTTTTTTTTTTTTTTTTTTTTTTTCTTTTTACCTTGCCAAGCCATTTTGATGTGGAAAGTGAAAAATATTGGAAGGAGATGAGTTTTTTATGAAGATTTGGTGTAGAAAGTGAATAAAATGGTTAGGTATTTATAGGGAAAAAATACAGAATTTTTTGGTATTTAAAAAAAAAATTCAGAATTTTTCAGAATTTTTTTCGAATTTTTTTTGAATTTTTTTGGCCAAAAAAAAAAATCTGTTTTACTGTGCGCTGACGTCAGCGTGACGTCAGCGCTGACGTCAGCCAACTCGGGCTTCAGCCCGGGCAAGACTTGCCCTTGGGCTTGCTCGGGCACGTGGGACCCACCACCAAACCGGGCTACGGGCCCTGCGCTGGAGCTGTCTCGGGCTGCCTCTGGCAGCCTTTCCCCCTTAGCCTGGGCTGCGCTGGAGATGCTCTTACAGAATGTGGGGATGGGGTCTAGGTCAGAGTTAGAATGGGTTGGGTGGGGTTGGTGGTGGCTGTCTGTTTGTGGAGTGAGGTGACTGTCGAAGAGACAGAGGGTGGGTTGGGGTTGGTGACTGTCGAAGAAAGAGAGGAATAACTATATTAAAGTAGGGTTAAGTAGGATGCCAAATATCAAAAAATTAAGGCACTGACAAGGAGAGAGACAAAACATGGAGAGAGGATCTGAAGTGGTTTACAAGGATGTAAAATGATCCCAAAATTTGAGGCAATTTTAACGCCCATTACCAAGGTAATTAACACCTTATTAATGAGGTGGTTATTTTCTATGTAAAATGATCTATACACCAAAAAATACGTTCAATTTGAACCCATTCTTCTCCACCATACTTTTCTTCCAAACTCTCTTAAGCAAAGACTAACTTGACCATCGAAGGGTCTTAGAAAGACACACTGGTATCACCACAACTTCGTTAGGTTTGTCATGTTTATTTAGCAAGTACACCTTTGTCAATTCCATTTGTGAGAACTTTTGTCCTATAATCAGTAATGTATCAATAATATGTGTAGTACGTTATGTTATTGACATTTTATCGCGACACCTTAATTATGATTCCTTTCCACAGTCGGTCCTTTAATAAATAACATACATCTTTTAAAGAGAAGAACTGGTGTGCATATACCAACATACTCCTTCTCTAACTCAAAATTGAAAAAACAAAACAAAACAAAACCCTTCATCTTTCGTACTATACGCGAGTGAGAATGAAAGCTGTCTACCTAAAGCCCAAGAAGATATTGAGTTTTCTGATAAGATTCCTTCGTCTGAGCTTAAGCCTTTCAGATTTGAGGCAATATGGCTGAAACATTGTTTATTTCCTGAGTTCATTAAAACTGAGTGGAAGAATTTGGAAGGTTCAGTTTCTAATAATTTGATTCCCCTGCTTCGGGAGTGGAATACTCAAGTCCTTGGTCAAATTTTTCAAAAGAAAAAGAAAATTCTTTCGAGGCTTCAAGTTATTCAAAGGTCTCTTTGTAAGGGTTTCTCCCCTTTTTTGTGCAATCTAGAGAAGCATCTTCAACAAGAGTTTGAGGATTTATTGGATCAGGAGGATGTGTTTTGGAAACAAAAATCTAGAGTTTCTTAGCTGCAAGGTGGGGGTAGAAATACCAAGTTCTTTCACATTACTACTCTTGTCAGAAGAAGAAGGAATAGGAGTGAAAGGCTTAAAGATAATAATGGGGATTGGATCTCTAGTAAAGAAGGTTTGAAAGCACTTGCTGTTGAGTATTTTCATGGGCTTTTTTTTGGATGATGTTGTTGATATCATTCATAGTCCTTGGCCTTCTCTTTTTCCCCCATATTCCTGAGGCTGATTTGGCTACTGTTAGTAAGGAGGTGACTGAAAAGGAGGTGCAGGATGCTCTTTGCTGTGCTGGTCCCTACTAAAAAGGTCCCTCTTGGTCTCTCGATAGATGTTTTTTTTTTTTTTTTTTTTTTTTTTTTTTTTTTTATAAATTGTTGGTCTTGTCTTTGTTTTATAGAAGATATTGAAGTTTTGGTGCTTAAGTGTTTTTCTAGTGGTTCCATTCTAGAGTTTCTGAACAGTACTCTTGTTACTCTGGTTCCTAAAATCACTAATCCTCATAGCATGCTGCAATTCCGTCCAATTAGTCTACGTAACACTTTATAAAAGTTGTTTCTAAGATCATTGTTGGAAGGCTCAAACCATTTATGTGTAAGCTTGTTAGGCTCAATTAGGTTAGCTTTGCTCCTAGAAGACAAATTTCCGATAATATTTTCATTGCTCAAGAGGTTTTGCATAGATTCCATAGAGCAAGAGGTAAAACTGGGTATATAGCTTGGAAAATTGACCTCTCTAAGGCTTTATGACAGATTGAAATGGTCTTTTATTGAGCAAACTCTTGCAGAAATTGGTATTGGGGAAACTTCTCTTCAACTTATTATGAGCTATGTCAAGAATGTCTCTTACAAAATAATTATGAATGGGAAGCTTACTGAGAATTTCAAACCTCAAAGAGGTGTTAGACAAGGTGACCATCTTTCCCCTTATATTTTTGTTTTATGTATGGAAAAGCTTAGTCACATCATTGCTGCTAGGGTGTTAAGAAGGATTGGAAAGTCGTTAAGGTAGTGAGGTCTGGTCCTTTAATTTCGCATCTGTTCGTTGCGAATGACTTGATTCTTTTTGGAGAGGCTTCTGTTCAGCAAGCTATGGTTATGAAAAATTCTCTTGAGGAGTTTTGTGAGCTCTCTGGGCAACAAGTTAATTTTGAGAAATTTTTGTTGTACATATCTGCCAATACTAAATCCTTGTTGATCAAATTGAGTTAATTTGTGGTGCCACCAGATTCGCTGATATGGGGAATTATCTAGGAGTTCCCCTTATCCTAGAGAGGGTTACCAAGGCTATGTATAGGGGGTGTTCTGGTTAAAGTTCAGTTTGAACTTTCTACTTGGAAAAGTCAATTGCTTTCTATGGTTGGAAGAATCACTTTAATCCAGTCTGTGGCTTCTTCTATTCCTCTATATACTATGCAGACAGCTAAGCTTCCTCAAGTTCTTTGTGAAGATCTTGACAAATCTTCTAAAAGTTTTCTTTGGGGAAGTAGTGAGATCCATCATAAAACTCATTTAGTTAAATGGGATACAGTTTGTTTACCTAAACGATTAGGAGGTTTGGCTATTAAAAAGGCTTGTCTTATGAATCAAGCTATGTTATCTAAAGCTAGTTGGAGAATTGTGGCTGGGGACTCCGGTCTTTGGGCTGCAATGCTTAGCAAAAAATACTTAAGGGGTAGTTGCTGCTTCAATGCTTATGATGATAATTGTACTTTGCCTTCTAGCTCTTGGAAAGGGTTAATTGTTGGTAATTTTTAAAACCTTGCAAATGCAAAAATCAAATGATAGTATAGTAAGCAAGCAAGGGTCGATCCCATAGAGATTGTGATCTAAAGAGATGTTTAACAATGTCACACAATGAAAACTAAAACACAATTAAACATGAAAACAAAATAAAGATTGAAACCACAAGGACTTCCACACACACGACAACACCAAGGGGGGTTTTGATTTGATTTTGTGAATAAAACAAAATAAGGAAAAGAAAAGAAAACATAATTTAAATTAGAGTTTAAGAGAAATTGGTTTATAATCAATCAAGAACAATAGTTAGGACTTACTATCCATGTAACATCCCACATCGACCAACGGAGAGGGGGTGATGTGCCTTATATGTACATGCCCGCCTCCATCTAGCATGAGGCCTTTTGGGAGCTCACTGGCTTCGGAGCAATGGGAACTCCAAAGTTAAGCGAGTCGGGGCTAGAGCAATCCCAGGATGAGTGACCCACTGGGAAGTTGCTTGTGAGCTCCCAGAAACAAAACCGTGAGGGCGGGGGTCCAAAGCGGACAATATCGTGCTACGGCGGAGCTGATCCCGAGATGTGACAATTTGGTATCAGAGCCACTCTGCCGTGTGGTGCGAGTGTGCCGATGAGGACGTCGGGCCCCTAAGGGGGGTGGATTGTAACATCCCACATCGACCAACGGAGAGGGGGTGATGTGCCTTATATGTACTTGCTCGCCTCCATCTAGCACGAGGCCTGTTGGGAGCTCACTGGCTTTGAAGCAATGGGAAGTTAAGCGAGTCGGGGTTAGAGCAATCCCAGGATGGGTGACCCACTGGGAAGTTGCACGTGAGCTCCCAAAAACAAAACCGTGAGGGCGGGGGTCCAAAGCGGACAATATCGTGCTATGGCGGAGCCGATCCGGGGTGTGACAATCCACCTCTAAACAATCAATCAATCCATAAACAACAATAGATAATCAATTTCTAGCAAGCATATGATGACGACACTCACAACAAGATCATGGCATTTGACTCGAGTTGTATGATTCTCTCTTAAGTGTATGTAAAGTGTATGGCATTTACATCAATACGTGTATTCTTAATTGAAATCTAGTATGACATTTACTCAAATTAACAATCAAGAATCCATTAAGATCAAAGAGAATATGAGTGTCACAAAAACCTTAAAATATGGCATTTGTTATTAGGAATTCAAGAATCGATTTCTCATAACTAGTTCTTAACCCAATTATTCATTGCAAACAAGAACACATTCAATATGGCAATTGACCTATGTTCTACAACAATTTAATTCCAATACATGCTTCAAAGTTAGCTACTCAAAGAAACAAAATATCAGAATTCACATAACATAGAGAAACCTAAATCATCACGCTTGTAGAAATTGAAAAATCCATTCAAACTTGTTTATAGAATTGAAATCATGTTTAGGGCTTCAAGATTAAGCCCTAACTAATAAGAAATTAGTTACTCATGTTCTTGGATGAACTCAAAAATAAATACATAAGAACTGAAAATTAAAAGAAGGAAGGAAAGAAAGAACTCGTTGGCAGCTTTCTCCTCTTGCGCGGTTGATCTCCTTAGGACGTGAATCACTTGTATCAGGGCCTTGGCTGGCCTTTTATATCACTTATATCAGAGTTCTAAACCCTAAAATTAACTGAGAGTCGTCCAAGAAATCTTGGTAAACAAGGAATCCAAATAGGAAAGTAAAAATCACAAATCCTAACTCCATAAGGAAAAATACAGCTCAGCCCAATTGTCACACGATTTGGGGATCTTCGGCCTTCTATAAAAATCATTAAAAATATATTTTAGAAATATAAATGTCTTATCTTTCCAACCATATATATCACGTAACTTGAAAAATTCGGGAAGGCTTCCGTTTCTTCACATTCACGTAACATGTACGAAACTGTCCTGTTTGCACATGGGCTAACTTTACTTGTAATACTGTACCAATTGGCTTCGTAGAAAATTCTAGAAAAATCACAGATTGAACTTCAAGATGTCAGCTTTCATCTCCAATTGGCCTTGTGCTAAAATTCCTCCGAAAATTGATTTTCCCTTAAAAACCTTCTAAGAGTGCAGAAAAGCTGAAAATCAGAAAAGTAAAGTAATAAGCCCCTTTTAAATCTAATTCTCCTACAAAACCTAAGTAAAAAGAGTACATAAATGAGTATATTTATGAACTTATCATTAATGTATGGAGCTGCCATTTTGAATAATGGTATGAGTGGAGAGTGGGAGATGGCACTAGAGTCAAATTCTGGACTGATACATGGATTGGTGATGTTCCTTTGGTGGATACTAATTTTCCCTTATCTGATCAGTTTGACAAAACTGAAACTGTGTCTAATTATTTTTCTAGGACTGGTTGGAATATTAAGAAGCTCCTGCAGGCTCTTCTTCCCGAAGTCGTTAAGCAGATCATCAGTATTCATGTTGATGTTGAAGGGAATTTACCTGATACTTGTATATAGGGTCCCACTTCAAATGGAGTTTTTTCTGTGAAGCCTGCTTATGAGTTATCTGCTAGTTTTAATGAAGTCCCTAGTTGTCCTTGGAATTTCATTTGGAATTTGAAGATTCCTCCTCGTGTTAAAGTGTTCACTTGGCTCCTCACTCAAAAAAGATCTTAACTAATGTGTAGAGAGTAAGAAGGCATATTTCTAGAGACCCTTCTTGTCTTCTCTGTCATTATCATGAGGAGTCTTTGCAGCATCTCTTTATTTACTGTCCTCGTGTTCTTGCACTTTGGAGATCCTTATTTACCTCTGAAGGATTGATCAATTTCTTTTTCTCTGATTTTGATAGTTGGTTGAAGGAAAATTTGTGTTATAATGCTGGGCATATAAGGAATTTGAAGTGGTGTAATATTTTTGCTGTTGCTTGCTGGTTCATTTGGAAATGGAGGTGTTGTTCTATCTTTGAGCCTCATTTCCAAATGCTTGTCGTCCTAATCAAAATATTGTTGAGTATCTTTTGGAATGGGATAAGGCTAATAACCTTTTTAAGAAGGCTACCTCTCAAACTCAGATGTTTCTTGCTTGGCATTCTCCTCGTTGTGGCTTCTTTAAGCTTAATATTGATGGTTCTAGAGTGAGTAACTCTGCTGGGTGCATTGCTGCAGAGGTATAATTAGGAATTATGATGGTATCTGGATAGCAGGATTTTCTGCTAATCATGGTCATGGTGAGGTCTTTGTGGCTGAAGCTTGGGCCTTATATTATGGTCTTAAACTTGCTTGGCAGCTAGGTTTGCATCAGATAATTGTTAATTCGGATTCTGCCCTTGTTGTTGATATGATTAATGGAGATTGGGTGGACTCTCATCCTATGTCTGTGTTGCTTACCAAGTGCAGAGAGCTTTGGAAAAGCCAGTGGAATTGCAGCATTCTTCATGTCCATAGGGAGACCAATTTTGCTGCTGATTTTCTAGCTAAGATGGGTCATCATAAGGATTTGGGTTATCATGAGCTCTCTGCTCCTCCTGATCAGATGCAGTCTATTTTAGATGATGATAAGAATGGTCTCTTGAGGCCTAGATTTGTTTCTGTGTAATCTTTTTGGTTTGGGCTTTGCCCCCTATTTTACCCAAAAAAAAAGAAGATAATGAGTTCAACTATAGATGTTCATAAGTTTTGTCGAAATCATTCATGGACCCAGGAATTAATGTGACCCTCCACTACATACTATCCGTTTTGGCGGAGCAATTACGCGATGTCCAATTCGATCCCAACCAACACTGTCCAGTACACCTACAACTATGGGATAATGTTTTATTTATCAACATGTTATGGACAATGATATCATCAACACCTTATCATTGCTATGCAACAATACTGAATACATAGAATTAAACAAGACAGAAAATTTACTTAGTTTGACACCCAAAAACAATAATCATTAAGCTATAATGTTCGTTTAGAGGTCAAATTGAGCAATCTAAATTAAAAAGATATGCCAGAGGGAGCATAGCAGAGCTTATCAATGAAATCCCTCACCTCCTTAACCAAAAAAGAGGACTCCTTGAGCTCAGGAAAAGCGTAAAATCCATGAAACGAATTTGGGTACTCAATCAAGTAAGCTTCTTTCCCAGACTTCTTCAACCCCTCGTAGTATCTCCTTTGCCAGTCTTGCAACAGATCAAACCCTCCCACGAAAACAATCGTCGCCGGAAACTTCACCCCCAAGACATCCTTTGATTCCGGCCCAAACACATTCGCCGCCGCGTGGTCTCTATCCGACCCCTCCGGCAAAAATGTCTTCCAGTACCAGTCAGTCTGCCCCAAAGACAGCACCAAACCCTTCGAAAGCCTTGTCTCCGATTCAGTCCTTTCTTTCCCACCAAAAAACGGCTGTATCGCTATAAGTCCTACAACCCTCATCTTGCCAAACTCATGATGATCGCTCGCCTTGATGGCCACGTGGTGGGCCAGGTTGCCACCTGCGCTGTCTCCGGCGAGGAAACACCGGGTGATGTCACGTTGTTGAGATCAAACCCGTCAATTGTTGTTTGGTCGATGAATTTCAGCACGTCGAAGCCGTCCTCGTATTGGGAGGGATAAATATGCTCCGGAGCGAGGCGGTAGTTGACGGAGACGACCACGGCGGGGAGCTCTGCGGAGAGCCGTTTGCAGAGGTCATCGTAGGGTTTTGAGTTAGCGGAAAATAATGCGAAGCCACCGCCGTGAAAGTAGATTATGAGCGGGAGCTTGGCGGAGGGCCTGGTCGTGGTAGTGGTGATGGCGGCGGAGGGAACGTAGAGGCGAAACCAGAGGTTGCGAGTGGGGTCCACCATCACGTCACAGGATTTGACGTGGTTGTTGGGTTTGCTTGACGGAGAGGCTTTGAGGTCGAATAGGCTAATGAGACGGCGGTTGATGGTGCCATTGGAGCGGCGGACGGTGTTGAGGACGGTGGGGAGGAGGGAGAGTAAGAGGCGGACCTTGCATGGAAGGTCGGGCGGCGACGTTGGGGGGTGTTTTGTCATTGTAATTTCAAATAATAGCAAGAGAGGAAGAATGATAGATATTATTAGGTTTCTCTGGTGCATCAATTGCATCGCGTTTTCAAGACAAGAAACAAACTGGCGATTGCCGTCTTGTTAATTTGGATTCTCTGGTTTTTTTGTATTTGTTTTGTTGTGCTTTCTTTTTCAGGAGAAGGAGGGGTTTTTTAATGAAGGCGTTTTTTCTCGATGTAATCAAGGTCACTTGTTTTCTACTGTGAAAAAAGCACACTTTGCCATAGACTCAATTTTCTGCGTGTTTAATCATCTTTAGTTTGAAATTAGGATATCAACATTTAATGGTAGAAAGGGTTTATTATTTAAACAGAAAACACAAAGATCATCAAGCCAATTCTAAATCAAATCTACACAAAACGAGACGAACACAATTCATCTTTTAATTTCTACACAACAAAATTTTCAATATTATCTATCTCCCAATATATATGCCTCAAATATGAATAAATCTTTATTTTCGTATCTATGTATATATTAAAAATATAAAAAAAGATTAATTACAGTAAACCCCTAAACTATAAGGGTCATTACAAACTCATACTCAATGTTTATTGACCAGTTTGATCAATACACAAACTTAACAAAATCTTTCAAAAGTTGGGCGGCGACGTTTTTTTGGGGGGTGGGTGGTGGTTTGATGGTGCCATTGGAGCGGCGGACGGTGTTGATGACGATGGTGAGGAGGGAGAGTAAGAGGCGGACCTTGCATGGAAGGTCAGGCGGCGACGTTGGGGGGGGGGTTTTGTCATTGTGCTATAATTATTAGGATTCTCTGGTGCATCAATTGCATCGCATTTTCAAGACAAGAAACAAACTGGCGATTGCCGTCTTGTTAATTTGGATTCTCTGGTTTTTTATATTTTTTTTGTATTTGTTTTGTTGTGCTTTCTTTTTCAGGTGGAGGGGTTTTTAATGAAGGTGTTTTTTTTCGATGTAATCAAGGTCACTTGTTTTCTGCTGTGAAAAAAGCACACTTTGCCATAGACGCAATTTTCTGCGTGTTTAATCATCTTTAGTTTGAAATTAGGATATCAACATTTAATTGGTAGAAAGGGTTTATTATTTAAACAGAAAACACAAAGACCATCAAGCCAATTCTAAATCAAATCTACACAAAACGAGACGAACACAATTCATCTTTTAATTTCTACACAATAAAAGTTTCAATATAGACAAATTGTATCCATCTCCCAATATATATGCCTCAAATGTGAATGCATCTTTATTTTCGTATCTATGTATATATTTTAAAAAAAAATTAATTATAGTAAATCCCTAAATTATGGGGATCATTACAAACTCATACCCAATGTTTATTGACCAATTTGACCAGTACACAAACTTAACAAAATCTTTCAAAATACACCCTCCTTTAGGTAAACTGTTAAAAATTCTGTTAACTGTTGATGTGTCAAAATAGGATTCCTGTTTTAAGCTTATGTGGCATCCACATAGACTGAAAAATGAATAAAATATTCCTTTATTTTATAAATTAATTAAAAAAATAAAATTAGAAAAACTAACCCCCCCCCCGAAAAAAAAAACAAAAAAACCAGCCAAACCCAGTCTTTTGTAAAATCATGATGTGTCAAAATAGGATTCCTGTTTTAAGCTTATGTGGCATCCACATAGACTGAAAAATGAATAAAATATTCCTTTATTTTATAAATTAATTAAAAAAATAAAATTAGAAAACCACCCCCCCCCCCCCCCCCCCCCCCCCACAAAAAAAAAAAAAAACCAGCCAAACCCAGTCTTTTGTAAAATCATGAAATTTAAATAAAATAAAATAAAATATCCCACCACAACACACCCCATACTCCCCACCGCCTTGTCCATCAAACCCAAAGCATTGACAGCCAATACATCGTCAGGTCCAGGACTCCAGTAGCATTTCCCATCCAAATTCAATCAAAAAAATAGATACATGAGAAACAACATAAACCCTGCCTTTGATGTTTTTAACCATTCAAGTCAATGGAGAACATATACCCGCCTCCTAAACTGACTTTGAAGCCTTTCCTCTTAGTTGAGTCTCTCAACTACACACTATTAAAATCAAAGGAAACAAAGAAACCCCATAATCAACAGCAAAAATAAAGCAAATGTGCAATTTTTAAAAGCTAAGAGCTCAAAAGACAACTAAACATCTTTATCATTTAAAAAATATTAATGTTATTCATAATTAATTAAAAAAATAACATTACAACTAACCTACAATTGTTGCCGACAAGGCTTTATATCATGAAAACGTCCCATTATATTTGGATTACTAATACAAGAAAAAACATATTTCTCAATGTAAACAACCAAAGCTATCACTCAACCATTGATTTCCTATTTTGTTACGCAATGGTGTTTTCACAATATTCATAGCTGAAAACGCTCTCTCAACTGAAGCAGTTGCAACAAGTAAAACTAAAGCCAATGTAAGAAGTAAATACATATAGTTGTATATTCTACTCCGTCCTATATTCACCAATTTTTCTGCCAGATCAGTAATTCTGTTCAATGATGAAAACTCTATGATGCTCTGCATATCAATAGTATAAAGCCAAGTTGATCTTCAAGCTTCATGAGGTCATTAAATTCTTGAGGGTAAAATTTAGCAAAATGAAGCATTTTTTGTTTGTCAAAAGCTACAAAATTATAAGCCGGACTCAAACATACCATACAAAGAAGTAATTCAGTATTTACCTCAGTGAAGCGATTATTCAATTCCACTAGTTGCTTACCAATGATAGTAAGAAATAGGTCCACACGATAATAATGGAAGTTTGTGATTTTCTGAGCTTTACGTCTTGATCTCCCTTGTGGTACAAATAAATCATCCATATTAGGAACGTCAATATCATTGTTGCCACAAAATATTGATACTTCGCCAAGCAAATCATCAAAGTCATCATCCCTCACGGATTGTAGCTTTTGCTTACATCTTTGGACCAACATCATCGCATTCACAATATCTTGGTCTTTCTTTTATAATGCCTTTGACAAATATAGATGAAACACAAAGTCAAAAGTTTGTATTTCTTTCAACAACCTATTTGCTTCACCTAAATTATCTTGGTTGACATCATCAACAATCCATTTAAGCACCTTCACCACGGGATGAAACATAGTATTAATACTAAGTAAAGTATCATAATGTGAGTTCCAACGTGTATCACAAGGACATTTGAGAGTAGTTTCTTGATTTAACCCTCGCCCCGTTTCAAGATCATCAATTTCAAGAGCTTTCATAATATCTTTTAGTTGTTGCTCTCTAAGTGCATCACGACACTTACACGATGCTCCAATAATATTAATCACACTACTAGTCATTGTGAAGAAAGTAGCAATGTTTTCATTTCCCTAGCCAGGTTTTTTTTTTAAAAAAAATAAAATAAAAAAAGCAGCGCCTTTTAAAAAGCCTGGTCCAAAACGACGTCGTTTTGGCCAGGCTTCGTTAAAAAAAAAAACAAGTGCGCGCTATGTGCACTAGCAGAAACGCAGCGCCAAGTGGTTTGCGTATTTCATCGAACATGCAGTGTGCGTCGCTGGTCTGAAGGAGAGGTGCAACTCCAACACCTCTAATGGAGTTTTTCGGTGACTGGAGGTGCAGGTGCACCTCCTTGCGCTTGCACAGGTCCACTAGTGCCTGTAATAAACCCTAAATCCTCTCCAGTCGAAATCTAGAAGAGGATGATGGCAATGTCCGTACAGCAACCACTGAGCCATCTATGGGACACGATGCTCCACCTCACCAAGTCCGCTCAAGACAAGAACAACAATCTACTCCTCTGGGCGGTTCAGCTCAACTCCAGCCTCAACTCGGCCGCCATGGCCTTGCCCTCCATCAAGCTCGCACACCTCAATAGTCTGCCAAAAATCCATATATGGGTTCGCTTCATAGGGAGGAAAGGAGATAGAGATACAGAGGGTGGAGGATGAGTTGGGGTTCATGGTCGTCGAAGAGAGAAGGGGGAAGGTGTTGTATCAGCCATGGGGGGCTTAACGCCAGAGAAAGGAACCCAGCCTCCCAACACCCATCACCAACACAAATCCCCGACCCAACCTCCCTTCTGTCCTCTCCTCTATTGCATGGTCAGATCTGGTGGAGAGAGAGAGAGAGAGAGAGAGAGAGAGAGAGAGAGAGAGAGAGAGAGAGGAGCGGGGGGTGGATCTGGGTGCGTCGTGTCGGGGAAGAGTGCGGGAGGTGGTGAATCGAGGTGGTGGGTATGGGGGAGGTAGGGATGGTGGTTGGGGAAGATGAGATCGAGATTGGAGAAATTGATGAGGGTGGGGTTTTCTAGGCTTGGTTTTATTTTTATTTTTATTTTACTGTTTTTTATTTTTTTATTTTTGCTATTTTGTTCTTTAAGATAATTTTTTTGGGTTACTTTTTCTAATTTTATTTTTTATAAATTTGATTTAAATATTTTTAAATTAATTTATAAAATAAAGGAATATTTTACTAATTTCTTAGTCTATGTGGATGTCACGTCATCTTAAAACAAGAACCCTATTTTGCCACATCAGCAGTTAACATAATTTTTAATGGTTTACCTAACTGAGGGTGTATTTTGAAAGGTTTTGTGAAGTTTGTGTACTAGTTGAACCAGTCAATAAATGTTATGTATGAGTTTGTAATGGGCCACATAGTTTGGGGGAATTTAATTGTTACTTTAAAAAAAAAAAAAAAAAAAAAAAAAAAAAAAAAAAAAAAAAAAAAATGAATAAAGTTAAAAACTCAAAATAATGATACGATTTTAATATTAAAAAGATATGCATACATAGGTTGCTAGGGAAGTGTATTCACCCTTTTGCACCGAAGTTTGAATACATCTCCCCATAAATTATAAATTAAAATAATTTAAACTAACACTTGTATTAAAAAGTATATAATATATATCAAACGATGAAAATTTATTAACCCGTTTTATTTATCAGAATTTCTAAACATCCACCTTATTCTCATGAGAACTCATGATTTTATTTTTATTTTTTATTTTTTTTGTTTTGAACTTATGATGCTTAGAAATATGACTTTATGAGTAAAATATTTTCATTGTATTGCAGGAGAAAGTTATTAGATTCATTTTTGGACATATAATTTGGGTTTTACTTTGGGAATCTAGTGAAAAACCCAAAAGAAGCAGCCTGCTCTTAAACAAATCCAAAATATTTTCAAAAAGACAAAAAACCTCTTATCTTCAACACCAGAGACACGAAAGTCCTAGGCTTAAAACAACATGTGAATATTTTGTCTTTATTCACATTTTTAAAGGAGCAACAATGTTAGCAATAGTGTTTTGTTCCTTTGTGCATATTTTTTAGTGCCATTTGTCTTAGTTTGTATGTAGATTCATTTGTTTTTGTTAGTGAGCATGTGAAGTGCGAAAATGCTTGTGAAGAGTGTGATATGTAAGTTCAGAGAGATAGAGAGAAGAGGAGTGCTTCATCCTTAGCCAAGAAGTGAAGTCGGTTAATGGTGTATATAGTTCCAAGCTCCCAAGAGAGAAGTATATACCTGAGAATAAAAATCTATGTACTTTCTCCTTCAGCTTTCAATCAATAAAACTCATTTTGTTCATATACTTTCCCTTATTACAAATATTCTTCATACATTCTCTTACTTCGACCACTTTTAATTCGTCGTTATTACCCCGATGATTGTTAATACTTAGACTGCACATGAACTGTTATTACTCAGGGCTAACAATTCCAGCAACAAAAGCAATTTAGTAAGCCTTTTTTTCCTTTTATTTTTGGTTTTCTTAGTAGACTTCTTGTCCAAAATAAGGAAACACTTTTATAATTATGTTATTGTCTTGCTAAATTGACGATCAATACTTTGCTTGAGCACTTGGTCATGTTTGATATTTGTCATAACAACAACTAGATGTTTGTTAGGGAGCCTCTGAGTTATGCTTAATAAACCCTTTAAGTTGGTGTCTTTGTCAGTTCCATGTTCTAGTTGTTCTAGGCATGGTATTTGGTTGTTACTTTGGCCTTTTGAGACCTTGACCGAGACCCCTTTGAAATTTGGTATCAAAGCTTTAGTTTAGCTCCTTAATAATATAATTATAACAGTAAAGTATCTTGAGAACATAAGTCACCCAACACAATTGATAAAAACCAACGTGTTATAACCTATTAAAATTTTCTGAATTTACTAGAATCACCAGTTAAGAACAGTGAACTCTTTGCATGTTTGGACTTTGGTGGATACCTATTAGAATAAAAGAAAGATTACAAGAATTGAGAAGGGAAAAAGTTGCATACCAAACGGTAATTAGGAATCTAGAAGAATTTGTAAGATCACCATAAGTAAGTAATTATCTCATAAGGAAATTAGACGTACAAAATAGAATAATAAGGAACCAATATCATTTAGAATTTGGTAAAGAATCTATAGAAGGCATTCCAAGAGCATTTGGGCATGCTAAAAGCAAAAGGTAGACTTAGATAGATTTTAAATTATATGATTCAGTATCTTAATTTAGAAATTAGTGAACAACAAAAGAGAAAATTAACTTTAAATAATAATAATACATCAGTTTTTTATTTTCCACAAAAAGAACACAAATATGTATTATACAGCAGTAACAATCTCTTAAAAAATAATATAGTTGATCTTTTAATTAGTAAGGCAGAAAGTGTAAAATTTGTACATAATAAACATAATATAATAATTAAATAGTTATTAGAATATTTTCAGAAAAATTCCCTAAAAACAATTAGACAAAATTTAGATTATATAACATCCCAATTAGAAGATAATAATAAAAATATTCAAAGATTATTATAGACAACATAGAGAAGAAGAGCTACACAATATAGACAACATGATGGAAGCATAATGAAGCCATAACTCCATATGAAGACCTCATGATAGCAGAAGCATATCAACCTCATTTCACGTGAAGAAATCATCCTAGCAACAAACCAAAAAAGTAAGAAGTGATCCAAGTTTCTGACTCCATACGGCCAGCAAGAAGCGAGACTTTTGGCATCTTAAGAAAAGCAGAAAAGGACTTCTTAAGCAATCTAAAAATGAATAAGGGCATTATTGTCAAAATACTAAATTTTTTGAACTTCTTTATAAATACTCCTTGGGCTGAATTAAAAGTTTCCGTTTTTACTTTCCCTATTTTATTTTTGATTTATTATTTTTCCTAAACCTTATATGGATTTTTTGCAAGTCCCATATGTGGATATTGATGAGAGTTTCAAGCGATAAAAAAAATACATGGTCAAAGGATTGACCCGAATGCCAACGTCGTGTAAGTTATAAGTTGCAGTCGTTTTTCATTTTTAAACACAGACAGAAACACCCACCGACGCTTTTCTCTTTGCCGTTGGCCATTAACAGAAACATAACTCGGTATTATGTTGTCGTTATCTATCCATATCCAAATACGACGCCGTTCCTCTAACGCTCAGGCCATCGCCAAAAGACGAACGACTTTGATATCTCTCTCGTAGATTCTAATTCCTTTTGAAGTTAGCTGAACCAGAACGCACGACACCTGAACTATCGTCGTTTTTGGCTTCTCCGTCGTCTTCAAGGTCGTAAGCATCTCGTACTCTCCACAACCTATTTCAGGTCAGTATAGTATTGAAGCTTTTAATTCAATTCCTGTTTTTAGGGTTTCCTTCAAAATTCATTGGCCTTTTACGTTAATTTTGTGAAATTAGCTGTTTTAATTTGTAATTCAGTCAAAGGCATGGCTTTTTGGGTTAATTTTGTCAAATTAGCTGTAGGAACTATTCTGTTTTGTTTTTTTCTTTCATGAAAGTCTTTGTTGTTTCGGTTTTGGAAGAACCACACTATTCAAAAACGAAATTGGTTCTGAAGTTTTCTGCTTTTGAAGAAAAAAAGGTTTTCATTTAACTTATTTGATTGAAGGATGTATGAGAGAATGATCCTAATTTAATGTTGATAAATACTTGCTTTGTCTGTGTTATGGGTGTGTTTTGAGTAATTGTTTTTTTATCAATGGGACGGGGAGATTCGAACTTAAGACATTTTCCAACATTAGGAAGAGCACAGATTAATTTTTATTTGGTAATACTTGAAATTAACAAAAAAAAGGAGAACCTCAGGAGAGGAACTTTACCTCATGCCCCCAAAGTCAACCTTGAACTGAGTTGCAGATATATAATTTGAAGTTACTGCAGTTGATAGTTATGGATAAGTACATGATTAAACCCTCTTAAATATATTATTTTTAAGGGAACTTATGGAGCTAGTTTCAAAATGTAATCTCTTTTCTGTGTTAATTTAAAATTTCTTTTGTTAGTGTCTAGGATGGGGTCAACTGCAGATCCCGGACCAATCGATATTTCTGTACTGTACGATCAAGATAACCATATTTCTTCAGCAATCTGGGATGGACAGGTTAGACAAAAAGCTTTTATCCTTAATTTCATTTTTTTACTTGTATTTGATAAAATCATATCGATGGTTTGAATAATTCTGTGTGTAACGATTCCACTAGAACTTTACAGGAACGTGGTGTGCTTAGATGCCATGAACACAGTTCAATGCTTGAACAATGGAAGCTCACAGCTAAACAAATTGAATTGGTTGAGAAAGCTGGTTTTGGGTACTTCAGAACAATTCCCACGATTAGCCTTGACAATTCACTTATCTCGGCACTAGTTGAGAGGTGGAGGAGAGAAACAAATACGTTTCATTTGCCTGTTGGAGAAATGACCATAACACTTGAAGATGTTGCACTGTTACTTGGGCTACCAATTGATGGAAAACCAGTTATGGGTGTAACAAGGACACCCGGAAAAGTATGCGAAAATTTACTAGGGAAAGTGCCGGAAGACCTAAATGGTGGAATGGTGAAGCTAACTTGGTTGAAAGAGTGCTTTTCTAAATGTCCTGAAGATGCACCAGTTGAAGAGATTGAGCATCATACGCGTGCTTATCTCCTATACCTCGTTGGTTGTACAATATTTTCCACAACAACTGGAAACAAAGTCTCTGTAATGTATCTTCCATTGTTTGAAAAGTTCGATGAAGCTGGAAAGTTCGCATGGGGTGCTGCAGCTTTGGCATTCCTCTACAGAGCTCTTGGTAATGCCTCCCTTAAATCTCAAAGCACTATAAGTGGTTCTTTGACACTACTGCAGGTATGCATTTTTGCCTTTTTTTCATCATCCTGTGGTAGCAGTGTGCTGCTGGCATCCCTTTATATCAATAGCCTTCACTTAAAATGTGACTCTGATTCTTATTCTTTTTAGTGTTGGAGTTATTATCGCCTCAATGTTGGAAATCCGAAGTTCAATGACGAACCTAACGATGGTTGCTTTCCATTTGCACTTCGGTGGAAAGGAAGAGCAAGTGGACCAAGATCAAACAGTAATATAGTTTCCTACCGCAAAGCCTTAGATTCCCTTCAACCTTCAGACGTAGGTCATTTAGATCTTTGCTCGATTTATAAGATCATATATTGATCAGAAGATGATAATAGTAATTCATGTGGTATTGACATGCAGGTTAAGTGGCTCCCATACAAAGATTTGGACTCATCTTCTTCAGTGGGAGATATAAAAGAGAGTTTGATTTTACGGGCCTCAAAAACTGTGCTAATATGTTTTGACAAGGCTGAGAGACACCTCCCTGATCGTTGCCTCAGGCAGTTTGGCGTGCTTCAACCAGTCCCAATGGATGTTCCGCGATGGGAGAGGAAGATTCGTGCACTTGATCAGGGTTCAGACTTGTCAAAGGAAACAGAGTTGCAGCTTAAAGGAAAAAATCAAGCAGAGCTTAGGGAATGGTTGGAGCGTCGACTTCGGATTGTGCAAGTTGAGGAAGTTGTGGATGAAATCAAGTACATGGAGTGGTATGAGAGAATTACACGAAAATTTGTTGGGAGACCTGAATCTTTAGAATCCGAGTTTCAGAGAATAGTAAGCCTATGCTTAATTGGTCAATTGAAGTTTTCACTATCAGTTATTAAAAATAAATTTGAAGTATATGTGATTACACTTTTTTACAGGTTGCTGCTATGAGAGAAATTGCAGATATAGCTGATTCATTTCCCGCAGATCGAATGGATTCCCGAGATAGGAAGTCACTTGATGATATAAAAAACGCAGCACATAAAAGTCTGATGGATTTGGTTGGAGACTCAAAGAAGGGTAGACGTAAGATTGCCACGAAACGTAAAAGGGAGGATGATCCAACTATCAAGGATGACTACTAGCTTTAAGTCATGATTGAGAATGCCTGGGCTCCTTGATAATTCTTTTATATGATATGCAGTGAGCTTGGTGGGGCAGCTCTAGCTATTCATTTCTGACATTGATGAAGTGTATCTTTCTCAAATTCATCAATCTGTAAAGTGCGTCTTTGATGTAGGATAGTATTGTATTGTATTACTAGAATCCGTCGGGATATACCTGTTGAATGGTTGAAGAAGGAAAAGAAGACAAATCTTTAGTTGGGGTTTGAGAAATAAATCTTACACTTGTTAAGACAATCTTTTCTTTTCTCTTCTCTTTTAGTTTTTATTTATTTATCAACAGGGGAGGGGAAGGATTGTCTTTAATCTAGTTTATTTCTTGGTGAAGAGTCTTTTGGAAAGTAAACGAAAAAGGGTCGAGAGATGGTGCAAATTGCAATGGCCTAAAACCTCCAACATGGGGAAAAGTATTCAAGGAATTAATCGGCAAAACCGTGGATGTGTTCGTGGATGTTGTTGGAATACGATTTCGCAAGGCTTAGGAAATTCCCAGAAAGACTTACAAAACAAAAAAGATAGCCTTGAATGTAAGAGCATAGGTGTGGTGTTGGCCAAGACCCTTCAAAGCTCAAGTCAGTACCTTGCAATAAAACTGAAAGTTGTATGCCAGAATTCTAAATTGAGGAATTTGGATTTCACTCACATTGGCTCAAGTTTCTTAGTTTGACCTTAAATATATTAATTTCTTATTTTAATAAAACGAGTGTTGCTAAACAAACTCTAAAATTAACTAAGTACACCCTAACATTTTAATCAAAATGTAAAATTAATTAAGTACACCTTATTTAACTACCAAAAATACCTATGGTACACCCTAATACACTCTATCACACAATGCCCTAATACCAATCCAAAACCAAGTTTATCTTTTTACATGAATTCGTGCCCTCTTTTCAGATTTTCGGTTTGTATCAAAATCTTATATTTTGTAAGTTGTTGTGGGAGTAGATTTTCTAGCTCCTTTAATTCAAAGTTTGATTCTTGTAAATACTTGTGATTTTCTTTGAAATATGTGTTGGGGACTCAAACATCACTGTCAATTTACTAGTGAAATGCATCATCACCAATCCAAAATCCTTGAGAATTTTGGATGCTTCCAAGTTAGAAGAAAAGTTTACACCCTGGGATTTTAAAGTCATCCAATTCAACTTTATTGTATGCATAATGTTGAGCTAAGAGTGAGACTAGAACAAACTTTTCCATTCAAATATGGCTACCTATCTTTTGCATCAGGAAGAATCAAGTACATTGAGAAACGTCAACACTTGTCTTCCACTGTGTTGAAAGCTCTAAGCCTTTGAAGCCATCAAAGGACCTTAAAATTATACGAAAACTTCTCTACGTTTAATTAGGGTTGAATATGGTGAGTAGGGTGTACTTATTAAAATTATATTTGTTTCATAATTCCTTATATCCTTTTTGGTCATTTTATATTAGAATAAATTAGTTATTCAATAAATACTTTTATAGTAGGGTGTACTCAGTTAATTTTAAGGTTCATTTAACAGCACTCTAATAAAATTTAAGAATAAATTTGATTATTTAATAAAACGATGGATTTAAATACTCGCTACAAAAGCACTATAGAAAAATACTCATAAACCAAGTGTTATATAAAGACTTGAGAAAAGACTTGAGAAAACTTATATTCGGCTGTCATACGAGCAACGGGGAGTTCACTTATTATAGCCAAATATGCCTAAGCCGTCTCCACATTTAAATAATTTTACACCTAAAGCGTTAGTTTTAACTCTTCCAATATAAAATGCATCGATCATATTCACAACTTGGAACCTTCAATTTTTTCTTCACTACTGGCCTCCTCGCAGAAAAAGAATATTAAGCGAAGAACCATTCTGATATTATTATTTTTTATTCTTATTATTTGGTTACTTGGTCTTTAGATGAGGGTCCTATCTCTTAATTGTTTGATTAAACTAACCAATTTCATTCAATGGCTAACCAATTTGATCCAACGATAAGGCCCTCGCTATAAAATTCTTGTATGATATATTAGGTACGTACATCTCTGCTACTAATCCTAGAAAAAACAAATGATATTAATTTTTTTATTTATAAACCAAGCGTAGAGGCAAACAAAAATTAACAATCACCTCAGTATTAGAAAGCAATTGAGCACCAGCCGGGTCTTCAGTGAAAAAGGACTTAATTTGCAAACTAATGGTCTCAGGTTTGGACCCCCATGGCACCTTGGTAGTATGTGTATGAGAGGATTTCGAGTCTCTACATTTAGCATCAGTGCATTTATAAGCATTTAAAAAAGGCATAACAATATAATCAATATCGCAATTTTCTCCGAATTCCGAAAAATGTGTTCTTGATAAGTTGAGAAAGTGAGTGTACATAGTCTTGAGTAGTAAATATCAATTAAGATATTTGTTACATGCAAGGTACTTGTAGATCAAGTGGTTAAAAACATTTAGCTCCGCAACCATATGTTATAGAAAGAGGGGCAAAGGTGGTAAGGACTCCTAACTTTTGGGTAATTTTTGCCAATTTTTGAAAAGTAGGGACTAATATGTTATTGACCCCAAACTCCAGGGGTTCAAACTGTAATTAATTTATACCGATTATATTATACCTTTGGCTTCAACATGTGCACTCGTTTTCCTATTTAAGGATGCTTAATCGGTTGTGAGATTACAAATTAAGCTTGTCATCACAATCAATATTCGTAATGCATCTTTGTTTGTTTCTGTCTTTTTTGCTTCGGCGTGGTTGTGCTCCAACTCTCCCAAGCCTTCCGGCTTCTAGTTGTTTATTTTTGTATCTCTCAGCAGCCTGCGGGCTATAAATGTGAGAGAGATATCTGTAATGATAGATTCTTATTGAATTTCCAAAGAGTTGTTTTTGTATTTCCAAATCATAAATTATTGCAATTGTACAGAGACATATATATATATATATATATATATATATATATAAAGGAGACTAACCCTCCTTGATTTAGTCCACAACCTGAGACTTAGGGAAGGTAAACAACAACCCCTTTAATTAAGGAGTTGACATCCAAGGATAGACTTCTATACAAATAGTTCCTAATCACAAGAAAGGTGAAGATGGCTATTATCCACTTGGGGAACGGCAACAATACACAGAAAAACTAATAAACCGCTGGACAACTTCCAATACTTCCCCTCAAGCTGGATCCAAAAGGTTGATGGATCCAAGCTTGGACAGAAGCCTTTGAAATTGATGAGAAGCCAAAGGTTTGGTGAATACGTCGGCCAACTGATCGAAGCTTCTTGTATAATGGGTTTGAATCACCTGCGACTATACTTGTTCCCGAACATAATGACAGTCAACTTCGATGTGTAAACACTGGGTTTGATGCTATGTGCATTGCTGCCTGGTTATCACAGAATAAGGACATAGGGTGAGTTGTAAACACACCTAAATCACACAGAAAAACTAATAAACCGCTGGACAACTTCCAATAATTCTTAATTCAAATATTGAATAATTAGCTAGGTTTTTTAGGTTTTAGACATAAAAAAAATTTCACTTTTGAAAAAAGCCAAAGCTTTTTCAAAAAAGACAAAAAAACCGCTCAACTTTCAAATCAAAGACATGCAAATGTATTGGATTACTTAGGAAATCTAAAAATAAATAAGGGCATTTTTGTCCATTTTTGCTTCTTTTAAAATTTTTCTCTCTCCTTTTGCTTTTTCCAAAATGTCCCTCAAAAATATGAGCCACTAACTTCTTTTGAGAGTTTTCATTGGTTGGTCATACTCCCCCCTTTTTTTTGAACTCTTTTCTTGTATATGGATTACCAAGCTGAAAAGAAGTGAGGAGATTTGTTGAAGCACGCCACTTTTGAATTGAATATCCTTTTGGCCTTGCAATTTGAAATATTAATGTCCACAGGATATATGTGTACAAGTCACTTGTAAAAGTCACAGGATATGTGGAAATTGTGATTCACATGTGCTTTATCTCTGCCTTCAATTTGAGGCTTGCTAGACGTGGCACATAACCAAAGACAATCCATGCATCTTTTTTATTTATTTAACAAATGACTTTTTTGTGTGAATTTTTTGGGTTCAACAGCCTGCTCCCAGAAAAAGAATATTAAGTGAAGAACCAGTCTGATATTATTTTTATTATTATTTTTATTATTCAGTTACTTTGTCTTTAGATGGGCGCTTTTATCTCTTTATTGTTGGATCAAACTAACCCATTAGGTACGTACATCTCTACTACTAATCATATTATTTTTATAAATAAAAAAAACCAAGCATAGAGGCAAACAAAATTAACAGTCATCACCTCTATATTAGAAAGCAATTGAGCATCAACGGGGTCTAGTTCAGTGAAAAAAGCTTTAATTTGCAAAACAGTGGTCTCAGGTTTGGACCCTATGGCACCTCAGTAGTGTGCGTATGAGAGGATTTCAAGTCTCAACATTTAGCATCAGTACATTTATACACATTTAGAAAAAGCATAACAATAGTCAATATCGCAATTTTCTCTGAATTCCGGAAAGTGTGTTCTTGATAAGTTGAGAAAGTGAGTGTAGTCTTGAGTTGTAAATATCAATTAAGATAATTGTTACCTACAAGGTACTTGTAGATCAAGTGATAAAAACCATTTAGCCTCGTACCTAAGGTCTTAAGTTTGATTCTCTATTCCTCCAATATCGCTTGTATTAAAAAAAATATATATAGAAAAAAATATATGTTATACAAAGAGGGGCAAAGATTCTAAGGACTACTAACCTTTGGGTAATTTGGGCCAAGTTTTTGAAAAGAAGGGACTAATATGTGATTGACCCCAAACTCCAGGGGTTCAAACTGTAATTAACTTACCAATTATATTATACCTTTGGGTTCAGTATGTGCACTCGTTTTCCTATTTAAGGATGTGAGAATAAGCTTGTCATCACAATCAATATAATATTCATCAATATCTCAGAAGTAGATCGGGAGTAGTCGTCTGGGATATGATGGCTTGTGAAAAGAGCAAGATACTCATAATCGGAGCCACAGGTTACCTTGGCAAATACATGTTGAAGGCAAGCGTCTCTTTGGGACATCCAACCTATGCCTATGTGCGACCAATCAAACCCAAAACCGATTCTTCCAAGCTTCTTCTGCACAAAGAATTTGAAGCCATGGGAGCTACCATCGTCCAAGTAAATTAAAATTCCTTCATTTCTTAGCCAAACTGCAGTCAAATATATATATATATATATATATATTTATGCTGCAAATTCCTCATAGTTCATCAAGATATGAAAACTTCATGATGTAACAGGGTGAACTGGATGATCATGAAAAGCTAGTCAAAGCGGTCGAGCAAGTTGACGTTGTAATATCCACGGTGGCTGTCCCTCAACATCTTGAACAGCTGAAACTAATCAAAGCCATTAAAGATGCTGGAAATATAAAGGTCAATCTTCCCTTCTTGGTTTTTAGTGAGAACTTCCCGAACATCCTTATGGGGTCCACCCAAAATCACTGAAATTTAAAATCATTTAACCACTTAATTAAATGGTTGTCATTTTGGCATTTTTTTGAACGCCGTGTTCATCGATTTATTGATCCCAACAACTACCACTTTGTCTAGTGTTTCACAAGCACGATCTTTGAATGAAGACTTAAAACATAGATGATTTTGATAATTCAAGTAGAATTTGCAGTAGATCCCACGAGGTATCCCTAAATAGTGGGGACCATTCTACAGCTATATATGTCTACATACATGTCTATCTAACCGGTGTAATTGTAAAATCAGAGATTTATTCCGTCAGAATTTGGAAATGAAGTTGACAGAGTAAGTGGGCTGCCGCCTTTCGAGGCTTTACTTGATAACAAAAGGAAGATCAGAAGGGCGATCGAAGCAGCAGGAATTCCATATACTTATGTGTCTGCAAACTCATTTGGTGCATATTTTGTTGATTATTTGCTTCATCCTCGTGAAAAAACAAACCACCAAGTCACTGTTTATGGCACAGGTGAAGCCAAAGGTGAGTTGAGTTTGCTCATAATTTTGTTTTTTTTAATATTTCATACAGCAAGACATATTGGTTTCGAATCTCGTATAGTTAAAATTAAATAAATAAATGAGTTGACAAATAAATAAATAAATGCTGGTGTCTAACCGTATGGTTATTCAAAGTGAGATTGAACATAACTGAATATATTTACTAATTATGTTTGAACAAATTCTGGTGTCTAGCCGTGTTGAACTATGAGGAAGATGTTGCTACCTACACAATAAAAGCAGCAACAGATCCAAGGGTTGCCAACCGTGTCATCGTTTATAGGCCACAAGGAAACATTGTGTCCCAGTTGGATTTGATTTCTTCTTGGGAGAAGAAGACAGGATGCACTTTTACAAGGAGCTATGTCTCAGAAGAAGAAATACTCAAGCTCTCTGAGAGTAAGCAATTAATCTTTTTCTTTTTCCTTTTTTGTGTTCAGAAGTTATATCCAACGAAAGTATTTGATACCAAACAATTCTCTCTCATTGTCTCTTTGGAAATGGAAATGGAAGCAAGCAATATGATAATGTGGTAGTGATATTTTTTTGTGTGCCCTTCTTTCTTGCAGCCCTCCCTTCCCCAGACAACGTAAGGGTGTCAATTCTGCACAACATATTCATTAAAGGGGATCAAATGAGTTTTGAACTAACAGAAAATGACCTAGAGGCCTCCGAGTTATATCCTGATTACAACTACACTTCCATTGATAGCTTCCTCGACATTTGCCTGGTGGATCCTCCCAAGCCAAAATTAGCAGCATTTGAATGACTGGTTTCTTTTTGGATAAAATGGAAAACTACTATCCTTGTTACTATTTTATGCTTTCTTGTTTGTATTTGTGAATGTTGGCGACGATCTCCGGGTCATTAGATGATGTTGCTTCAGAATTCATATCAATTAAATAATAAAATCTTCTAAGTAATATGCCAAATTGTTTTTTTTTCTCTGCATAAAAACATTAAATAATAAGACTTAGCTATTTTCCAAATAAGTATAAATACCTAATCGAATACATTATACCTGGTCAAATTAATGGATGAAATTATGACATGTGGCAATATGCATCCATCCATGACATGTCAGATGCACGACAAAAATCTGATATTTGGGCCTACAAAATTTATTCCTATGTGTTCATTTTTAGGTGAGAAAGATTCCTCGAACATGAATTTGGAATTGTACGTCATTAGGTTTTGACTATTGAGAAGTTGAGTCCAAAGTCTTGTGTTTGTGTAAGTAAGCTTGAGTTCAACGTACCCAGTTTTGTCTCCTATGCCTCCTTTCCACGAACTCGAAGATTCCTTCCAAACCCAAACCAACCTCACAAAACCCTAATAAAATTCAAACATTAAAATATGTCACATTTGAGACTAACGTTTTCCAATTACAGTTTGAAAATGATGGCTCTAGTTGCTTGTGCATTTCGGCACAGCTGCTCTCTTTCTCATCTTGACAGTTTGTAAGATCTATGAATAATTATGAATTTGCTTTAGAATTAAGATAAAGATTTTTGTTGTTGTTGTTGTTGCTTTTTCGAGAGGAAAGGTGAGGAGAAAACAATGAGAATAGAACAAACTAAAATTAAAATCCGTTACATGTGTCATTCCTCCTCCTTGATTCACAGCTTTCATCTAATTTCCAACATGTAGAGGTTAAATGACCAAGATCCCTTGCAGTTTGCAGTCTCTATCATTTAAATTTTTTTTAAAACACCGTAAAGTTACAAATTGATATGCCATTAGTTTATTCGTCCATCTAATAACTTCTTTTTTTTATGTGGCATCTGGTGAGTCAATTTTTTGCTTACATAGATGCCAGAGTGATACCGCATGAAGCCACATGACCAAAATGTCACTGATCTTGAACTATGAAGCTACATGACCACTCAAGATATGAGGCTTATAGAGCACTTACTACCAGATGCATATTGTCAAATCGTATATAACTAATAAGTATAATGTACATGAATCATATATACCTAATCGAATAGACCTATTTTGTAGTAGTGCCTAATCAAATACGATTATAGAACAACAAAGGGGTTGTACTGGCTTATTCCTTTTTCCTTCTTTTTTCCTGTTTGGTAGACCTTAGTGATAGACAAATATATAATGATGAATCAGTACAGCACTATATAGTTGAAATTCATTATGGCTTGCACATTATTTCCTGCATTATAATGACGTACCAATTTTATGCGAGTGAAAGGTCACCACCATAGCCTGGTCATATAGCCACCAACTTTGGTCATATATAATGAGCACGTGGAACGAAGTCTTGGGTGCGATTAGAGGTGTCAAACGGGCCGTGCCGTGCCGGCCCATCCCATTTAAACTCGTGCTTTTAACGTTTTCGTGTCGGGTCAGGCCGGTCCATTTAATTTATCGGGCTGTGCCGTGCTGGCCCATTTAGTAAAATTATTGATCCCGGCCCGGCCCAAAGCCCATGTCCATATTGAAACGGGCCAGGCTCGTGCCGTGCCCGTGCTCGTGCTCGTGCCATACTCGGGCCCAAGAACCAATCCATTTAATTTGAATTTTTTCACTTCATTTTTTTTAAAACTAGATAATTCAAATTATAAACATTAAAAATATAATTAGAGGTAAGAAATGATGAACTATTTGAAAACATTAATCAATCAAACATCCAAACAATATGAAAATGGCAGAGGGCAAAAAGTGTCAAACTCTACAAAGTCCACTTCAACTTTTCATCTTTAAACAACTTATTATTTTATATGTAAAATAATGTCTTACTTTGACTATAAGAGAAGCATATATGTCATATGTACTGATTAGATATTAAGTCCAATATTGTTTAATTAATTTGTAGTTGATATGTTTAATTATTAAGGCAAATTAATTAAGGACCCAAGTAATTTCCCTAAAATGAAAGACATTATATATTTATGATTAAAAAAACATATAAATAATGACATTAGATGTCAAATTATTGCATTTTGACTTTTGAGAAAGAAAAAAATGTTAAGTGGGCTGTGCTTGGGCTCGTGCCGTGCTTGAAGCGTGCTCGGGCCAAGCCCGGCCCATGTCGGGCCAAGCCCGGCCCATGTCGGGCCATGGGCAGGCCCGGTCCATTGGACCTCATTTTTTGATCCCGGCCTGGCCCAAGTTTTCGTGCCGTGCCGAGCACGGCCCATTAATATTCGTGCTCGTGCCGTGCCGTGCCTCATTTAAATGGGCTGGCCTCGTGCTGTGCTCGGCCGGCCCGTCCCGTTTGACACCTCTAGGTGCGATGAGATGACTAATAGGATGTGCCAAATCGACGAATAATTTTCCATGGCCTGCAATGTCAATTTTCCAAGACTAAAGGCCACCACCAAAAAACAATGAACTAACCGAAGTCTCTAACGTCCTTTAAGTGATTATTGGAATTCTCATAGAGCAATTGAGTTAGTTCTGCTAGTTTTATTTCATTAAGACTTTGGATCTTGAATGACTATTTTATTGACTCTAGGGAATGAATATTTTGTTTTATAGAAGCGATATTGGGGAGTCGGGAATTGAACCTAAGATCTCATATGCAATAGTAACTATTCTTAACCACACTACTACATTTTAGTCTTTGTGCGACGAAGGGGTCTTCGTCGTGCAAAAATGATTTTAGTCGCACATAATTATGCGCGACAGAAGTTTCGTCGCGCACAGTCCGTCGCGCAAAGTTCGTGAAGAAAGGATTTGCGCGACGAACAAATGTCATTCGTCGCGCTGTTTGCGCTACGTATAACAACTTCGTTTAAAAAAACATTTCGGGACGACCTCAATGTCCGTCGCACAAATATTTGCGCGACGAAACAGTGGTCGTCGCAAAAAAACTGCGCGACGGACTCTTCCGTTGCGCGAGATACATGAACTTTGCGCAACGAAATAATATTCGTCGCGCATACACATTTTGCGCAATGAAATTATTCGTCGTGCATGATTAAAATATATTTGTCGACGTGTTATTTAAATGTTTTTGTGCGACGATTTACGTTTCGTCGCACAAAAGCAATATATATTATTAAAAAAAATTATTATTATTTGATTTTTAATTTTGTAAAAAAATAAATTTGGTTTTTTTTATAATTAAAATGAAATTACAATAAAAAGATTAATCGTAAAGAAAACATCTATTATATAAAATACAGGAAATGTATACAAATTGTAAAAGTAATTATAAAAATAAAAAACTAATCAAATAATGTTCCAAAATCTACTTGGTCATCTGCCACATGCGGCTCGGAGGTTTGGGCGTCTGCAGGGGCCGTGGTGTGCTGGGGATGCTCGGGGTGGACGGGCTCGGAGGTCGACGCACCAAAATTCGGGATTGGAATGTCGGACCGCGCGAGGGACTGCAGAATCACCGACATCTGACCCTCAAGCTCGGCAACCCGCGATGTCCAAACAGTCACCTAACTGTTTGCCTGCGACGATGACCGCGGTCGAGGTTCCCTCTGTCGGGCATTCCCCATCCCCCTACAATACGTTCCCGGCCTCCTCCCGAGAGTCTGATCCAACGTCTGCGTCAAAATCTGAAATCCAGCATCATGTGGAGGATCCACAGACTCGATCGGAGTCTCGGGAGGAAGTTGGGAGGCGGACTCTTGAAGAACCAACTGGCTCCTCTCCACCATCGTCGTCTGTTTAACATTACATAAAATATAAATTCAAAAATGCATATAAATTGAAAGTGTAACATAAGAATTAAAAATACATAATACTTACATGAAGGGACTCGGCCAACTCATTCCCAGGTCGAACATAAACGTCACCAAAGACGTCGATCTCTGGGAATTTCGACCCCCCCCTTAATTGAACAAGAGAAGGAAAATATTAGTATGAACAAAAGAAATTAATAATAATGACGTATTAAAAATTAAATATAAATTATATTATTCTTACCCAACGCCGTGCATCCATCCTATATGAGAAGGGCCTGGAGCCGGAATGGTGGAGAAGAGTCTTCTTCTTCCTATTGCCCTTATTCACTTGGGCTTTATTCTGTTATACAAAAAATAAAACGTAATAATTGAACTATAAATAAATTAAATAATAATGAGATATAAAAAATAAAATAAACATTAAACAAATATTATTAAAAAAATACCACATAATCGGGCGCCTGAAAATGAGCGCAGAGCCACGCCCAACTATCCTCCCACCCCTCAAGCTCCTTCGGGCAACCCTCCTGAAGAGCGACTTTCGGATCATCAAACGCCTGAAAATGGTGGTGCAAGTCGCTCTTCCACTGCTTGTACCTCTCACCGAAGAGTCTGTTGACGTACGCCAAGGTCTCCTCGTTGATGTCCTCTAAGTCGTAGTTCGTCTGCAATAAATTGATTACATACATTAAGTAATAGAAATATATAAAGTTTGAAAGAAAAATAATTAAAAGATAGGAAACATACCGACAACTGGCCGCGAACTTGCATCTTGATCTCGTCAGGCATGACCTTCCAAGACTTCCATTGCATCGGGCAATGGGTCCGAACGACGTGGCCAATGTCGTGGGCCAAGGAGCTATGCAAGTCCGCCGTCGGTGCAGCCCGATGGCGCTCGTCATATCCGATGCTGATACGACTGTTGGTCACCCGGGTGACCTTCGCCGTCTTCAGCTGCCGACACGGCCCTCGGGTGTTCCTCTTGGCTGCAAAGGGATATGACAATATTGTTACATATACAATCAAATTGAACCATAAAATTCCCAATTAAAAAAATGTTAAAAACAAAAAAACGAAAGTGGAAGGGTATTACCTGGAGGTGCCCCCGAGGCACCAGTACAGTCAGTCGATGTGGTGTCGGTGGTGGTAGCGGGCCGGTGTCGCCGCCTAGCGCTAAGAGCTGCACCACCGAAGAAGATGATGCAGCCGCCTGGGATCCCCCAGGACCAGCTAGCACGTGGTCCTGCTCCATCAGTGCTGGAGCAGTGGCAGCTGATACCGGCTGAGCCGGGGGCTCCGAACTCGGTGTAGTCGTCACCGCCCTACGACGTCTAATCAAGTCTGACATCTGCACAATTTCATTAATCCAATGTAGCACATACAATGTCATTAAAAAATTGAACTAACTAATTAAAATCATAGTTTGACCTAGGGTTTGCGATTTCGGAGTATCCGGGACTCCGATCCACGATCCGTCGAATCCTAAACGATCCTATAAATACATGGTACCACATACGTGAGTTTTCAGCTCGATCCAACGGTCCGAACATATCAAACCCTAAAATCGCACAATAGGTTCGAACCGTTCGAGACTCAAACGATAACCAAATTCCAATCCGAGCACACCTACGCGCTCGTGACAACGAAATGTTTGCACTGGGACAAAATGCCCTATGCCACAGTACCCCACGCGCCACCACACGCGCCGGCAGCGCGTGGGTGCCCTAAGCGATAACAATCACCGGGAAATCCTAAAAATTAAGGGCCAAGGTTCCTACCCTAGGTTGAAAACATCAATTGGAGGCACTTTTGTTCTCGGACCTACCCCGAAAAACGGACGGAAGTGGCCGGAATTTCAATTTCAAAACCGGCCGAAACCTAGGGTTTCAAATTCACTACCCTATGCACACAATCAATCAAATCCTACACAACCATCAGCTAGAGCATGAAAAATAGCCCAGAAAGCATACCTCAATTGCCGGATTTGGTGCCCGGAGGAGAGAGAACAACGGCGGCGAAGATTCGGCCTAAACGGAGGAAATCACGGCGGCAGGATGGACGGCGACGGCGGAGAAGCTCCAGGGTTCGACGGTGGTGGCGGCAGGGTCTGAATTGGGGCGGAGTAGGGGCTGAGGTCACGGCGGAGAGAAAGGGAGGTTTAGGGTTCCGTTTGAGAAACTGGGGAAGAAGGAGAAGATCGCGATTTTCAGAAAACTTATTCGACTTTGCGCGACGAATACATAAATCCGTCGCGCAAAATTCATTAAAATAACTTTTGCGCGACGCAAAAATGAACTTTTGTCGCGCAATATTATAAAAATATGACCTTTGCGCGACTTAAAAACATGATTTCGTCGCGCAAAGTTGTGAAAATATAACTTTGCGCGACGAAAAAACTAGTGTCGTCGCGCAAATTTGTCCAGCCGCCCAAAATTTTGGGATTTGATTTTGCGCGGGAAGATAAATGCAATGATATTGCGCGACGAATAGACGAAAGTTCGTCGCGCATTCTAGCTTTTGCCAAAAAAAATTTCGCCAAGTGTTGGACAGAAAAGGGCTGCAATTGTTCTTTTTGCGCGACGAAGGGCACTTATGTTCGTCGCGCAATCTGGCTTTTGCCAAAAAAAATTTCACTAAGTGTTGGAGCGGAGAAGGGCAGCGAATTTTTTTAATGATTTTGCGCGACGAAGGGCACTTATGTTCGTCGCGCAATCTGGCTTTTGCCAAAAAAATTTCACTAAGTGTTGGAGCGGAGAAGGGCAGCGAATTTTTTTAATGATTTTGTGCGACGAAGGGCACTTATGTTCGTCGCGCAATCTGGCTTTTGCCAAAAAAAATTTCACTAAGTGTTGGAGCGAGAAGGGGAGCAAATTTTTTTAATGTTTTGCGCGACGAAGGTACTCAGTTCGTCGCTGATCTTTTGCGCGACGAGTACAGTTGATTTCGTCGCGCAAAACCATACCCTTGTACCCTAAACCCTAAAACCTGTACCCTAAGCCCTAAACCCGAACTCCTGAACTAGTTTCAATGATCCAACCGGCAATCTTCTTTTTTCATAGTTCAAGATCGTATACGTCAAAAATCATAATGAATGAACATTCAGAGATTGAGTAACGGGACAAAACTTTTCGACGGTTCTAAACAAATTGTCCCGATTCAACGGTGATTTTAACTCCGATCTTGAAAATTTTTTACAGCTGCGGTTCTTGACCCTATATGAATACAGAGATGTAATTCGATCTTCAATTTCAGATATTTACAGTACAGGACATCACATAATCTTATGTTAGACTGAATGAATGTATAAAGAAATTATTCATTTTTTATGAATATTGTGTTTTTATGGAATACGCATTCTAGGAAACTAGTTTCAGTAATCTAGCCGTCAAATATGTTTGTTTATACTTCGAGATCGTATACGTCGAAAAATGAGAAAAAAAAACATTCAGAGATCAAGTAACGGGACAAAACGTTTCGACGGTTATAAACGAAAAGTCATGATTTAACGGTTATTTTGACTCTGATTTTGATGATTTTTTACAGCTATACTGTTTAACCCTATGTGAATACAGTGAACTACTTCGATCGTCAATTTCAACTATATACGTGTGTATATATCAGAAATATATATATGTGTATATGTTTGCGCGACGAGGTCTGTTTTTCGTCGCGCAAAAGTCACTTGCGCGACGAAATTATTTGTCGCGCAAATAATAGAGTATGCGCGACGTGTACATTTTCCGTCGCGCAAAATTGTGCGACAATTATGCCTTCGTCGCGCAAGGTTATTTTCATTCACATATTATTAATCTGAATTATTCATCATTACATATAATTAATTGTATGAAAGTATGATTTATTCTATTTTCTTTTGATTTGAGAATGGAAGGATTGTTGATAATCTTATTTTCTTTGTATTCATTTTTTCGGTTATATGGTTTTCATTTTTTAAAAGTTTTTTGTCAAAATAAATTTAAACTTTATGATACAAATTACTTGGATATATTTATTTACCAATGGTTTATAACTACATTTATTTTAATAATGTTTCATTTCTGCACATATATAATGTTTGGATATAACAAGTACATATATGAAAACATTTGCATTACACAAAATATGTCCACTAACATAATAAAATTACAAAAAAATTAATCATTCATCATCTGAACTATAATAACTTTCGTTATCGTTGCTATCATCACTTTCGGTCTCCCAATCCTCTTCCTCCTCCTCCTCCTCCGCCTCCTCTATAACTACATCATCGTCGTTGCTCGGGCCAACTGCAACATCATATCGCGGAAGATCACCGAGGTCAATTGTAATTGACTGAATCGGTATTTCGATTGAAGACACTCCTTGTATTTGAAATGGCTCTTGTATAACATTAGTATCTCGAAGTGTTTCCGCATCATTTTCCATTGAAGATTCTAAACGTTGGTCAGCCACATTGTTGACGTCGTTGTCAGTTGGGTCTAGTTCTGGTATAGCATACACGTTCCTGTGATCCATCTTTTGAACAACGTTCCAACCGCTTCCGGCTTTAGGGTCATCTAGATACACAATTTGTGTTGCCATGTTTGCCAAAATATAAGGGTCGTCATCATACCAAGTTCTGTTCATGTTCACAGATAGTAAGCCATGATCGATTTTAACACTTCCCGGCCTATTTGGGTTGGTGTCAAACCATCGACACTTAAACATGATCACTTGGTATCGATCTTTGTAAAGCAATTGCACGACAGTTGTGAGTTTGCCATAGAAATCAATGTCCGTACTTTCGCCTCCACCTGGGACATGGACACCGCTGTTTTGCGTACACAACTTGTCATCTCGTGCTTCGCCCAAAAATTTGACGCCGTTGACATTACAACCCGAGAACAATTCAGCGCGAATCGGGCCGAACGCCAAGTTATATAACTCATCACTGTAAGTTGGGGAATTCGATGATTTCAACTTATTCACCTAATATTATACAAAACCATTCATATGTTAGTCTGACAAAATTAAAAACTACAATTTATATTTCTCAAATAACAAACACTGATAACTTACAGAATCCAAAAACCATTGTGGAAACAATTCACGGTGTTTCTGGGCAACCAAATGTGATGGATGTTCTCGCTTCATCATCTCTTCATGCTCATATAAGTATCCCATGATCTCATCACAATTGTTCAGTACGAACCAATGCGCTACCTCCATGTCATTTCTAGAAAACGACTCTCCGCGTCCAGGATCTCCAAAGGGTCGTGCGCTTTGGGCAAAAACAGAAAGTTTTTCATTTCTCATACCTCCATCATGATTGCGCTGAGGACGATTGAAAACCGTCTCCACATCTTTTAAATACATTCCGCAGAAAGTAAGCGACTCATATTGAACCCAAGCCTCTACGATTGATCCTTCGGGCTTCGCCCTGTTGCGTACACTTTTTTTCAGCTCTCCGAGAAGCCTGCCAAAATAAAACGATATGATTGAAATTAGCAAGCATGTGATAATGATGCATACACAAACGATAAGGATTATATACCTTTCTATTGGATACATCCAGCGATAGTTGACAGGACCAGCAAGCAATGCCTCTTCTGGCAAGTGAACCATCACGTGCATCATACTTGTGAAGAAAGCTGGAGGAAATATCATCTCAAACTTGCATAGGACTTGGACAATGTCATGGCGCAACTGAAACATGTCCGTTTTTCGCAAAGTTTTTGCCGTCAGTTGGGAAAAAAATCTGGACAACAAAATGATTGGCTTCACTACATCTTCCGGCAATAGGTGTCGAATACCAACAGGAAGTAGGCGTTGCATAAACACATGGCAGTCATGGCTCTTAAGTCCAGTAAATTTACCCCCGTCAACATTCACACAACGTGCGATATTAGAAGCATACCCATCGGGAAACTTTACTGACGATACAAACTTTAGAAACTCTTTCTTGTCATTCGGTTTCATAGAAAAGAATGCAAGATCCCTTCTAGCTTTATCATTGTCCCTATTCATCCATAAACCCCTTCGTATGCCCATTCTTTCCAAATCAAGACGAGCTTTGATCGTGTCCTTTGTCTTCCCCTCGATATCTAGAATCGTGCCCACCAATGTGTCGAATACATTTTTCTCAACATGCATCACATCTAGATTGTGCCTCAATTTTAGTTTCGACCAATATGGGAGCTCAAAAAACATAGGCTTGTGCGTCCAGTTCATATGTGTAGAAGGTCTGATACGACTAACTGTTTTCCCGAAGGGAGCAAAATCCAACCGGTTAAGCTGGTCCAATATCTCATCACCGGACCATTCTCTGGGTCTAAGGCGACGCTCTGTGTTCCCGTCGAACTCTTTATCTTTTTCCCTCCACTCATGGTCCCATGGCAACCATCTCCGATGACCAAGGTAACAAACTTTTCCAGCATGCCAACCAGAAGTTACATCTTCCTTGCATACAGGACATGCCATATAACCTTTTGTGCTCCACCCAGAAACCATTGCATATGCTGGGAAATCATTCACAGTCCACATAACTGCTGCCCGCAAAGTGAACATCTTCCCAGTTGATTTATCGTACGTGCGAACACCGTTTGTCCATAAATCCTTCAGCTCATCAACCAGCGGCCTTAAGTAAACATCGATTGACCTCCCAGGATCCTCAGTTATCAAAACAGTCATCATCATGTATTCTTTTTTCATGCATTTCCAAGGCGGCAAATTATATGGGAATACGAAAATCGGCCAAGTGCTGTGGTGTTGGTTTAGAACCCCATACGGATTGAATCCGTCAGTGGCAAGTCCCAATCTAACATTTCGGGGATCAGCAGCAAACTCGGGGAACGTTCGATCGAACTCTTTCCATGCCTCCCCATCTGCAGGATGCCGCATCACATCATCGTCTACCCGTTTTTCCTTATGCCATCTCATGTCTGTGGCAGTATGCGTCGACATATACAATCGCTGCAACCTAGGTTTCAGGGGCAAATAACGCATGACTTTTTGTGGGATCTTAGTCGTCCTATTCTGAGATGTCATCTTGAACCTCGACTCATTGCATATAGGACATGTATCCAACGATTCATGCTCTTTGTAGAATAACATGCAATTGTTTTTGCAAGCATGGATTTTTTCATAACCCAATCCAAGACCATTCAACACCTTCTGCGCCTGTTTATGGTCTTTCGGCAAACAATTGTCCGTCGGAAGCATTCTCTTGAAAACCCCCAAAAAGTAATCGAAACACAGGTTCGACATACGATACTTTATTTTTCCGTGCATTAGCTCCACAATGGCCGTGAGAACGGAAAAGCTCTCGCACCCCGGGTATAACTCTTGGTTGGCATTTTTTAACAATTTCTCATATTGTTCAAACTCCGCACTGTCTATTGGTGTAGGCACATCATCTTGCTCTTCTTGATTCATGTTGGTCGATGCAAATGGAAAAACATCATTGCATCCCACTAGTCTTGTGGCATTTGAAGACGAAGCATGCTCTAATTGTTCCCCGTGAAGGTTCCAAATGCTATATGTCTCAATCATTCCATTCCTTACTAAATGAAATCCAACATTTTCAATTGTCTCCCATAACGTGTTGTTGCACCTCCTACAAGGACAACGGATTCTAGTTGCACCCGGGTTGTGTCTACGTGCAAACTCAATAAAATCCTCGATTCCATCCAAGTATTCGTCTGCGCATCTGTTCGGGTTCTGTATCCACCTTCTGTCCATAATTCCTGAAACCAGAATCACAACACAACAATCACAACAACTTCATACGAAGTTATAATGTCACCTTATGCCTCCGGTAAGGGTCCTATCCCATTCGGGAATGCATACTCCTGCCACGTAACCTACGACTACATGAGATTAGATTTCGACGTGGATGAATTTCGCCAGCATCTCGCTACAGTTCTTGAGGTGGCCATAGGTATAAATACCTACGTACCACCCGAAGAACGTACCGAGATGACAACGAAATATCCACAATCGAAACCTAATCCTGTAGCCATAGATTACGTGACAACACTATGCATTACCAAACTGTCCAAATAATGGGACAATTCAAGAATTAATTGGACCGCAGTCATGCATTACGCATCCATGCACGAAATCCAACTAATCTCGAACGGGAAACTAAGTGTTATTAAACATAAAAATAAAAGCACGAAGTTAATTTCAATTAACTTCGTACATCACAACAGATTGTACTACGTTACACACAATTTAACAACATAATATAAATATAACTTCACAAGAACATTTTAAACATAACAAATTAACATTATTAATATATAAAACGAATAAAATACCTTCTCAATCGTTCTCCACCAATCGCTAATTACAAATATCCCTAACGAAAACAAATTAAAAAACCTTAGTACGAACTTAAATTAATACTTTTAAATTAATGACGAAAAATACTTACCCAATCAATGTATTGAAATCCCAGCAGCTGCAGAGAGGTTGAGAGAGAGGCAGAGGCAGAATGCTTTGTTTTTCATTCTGCCTCTGCAATGGCAGAATTCTAATATGAAGAAGAAGGACTTTGCGCGACGAACACATACATTCGTCGCGCAAACTTCCGTCGCAAAAAACCAAATCGTCCATCGCGCAAACCCTTTTTTTCGTCGCGCAAACACCTGCCGACATCTAACTTTTGCTCGACGCTGGTACTTTCCGTCGCGCAACATTTCGTCGCGCAATATTGTCGCGCAAAAACAAAATTCCGTTGCGCAAAACAAGATATTCGTCGTGCAAACGTGGAACTTTACGCGACGAAGAGTATTACGTCGCGCAAAAAAAAATATCCCAACCAGGTACTTTTGGCTCCAAAAATAAAATATCTCTCGTTCTCTTACGCGACGAAACATCTTCCCGTCGCGCTAAGCTGTCTTGTGCGACGAAGAGTTTCGTCGCACAAGTTTTTACCGCCAAATAAGGGGACCCACTGGGTTCTGTCCTTTTTGCACGACGAATCAATGTACCGTCGCGCAATGTTGTCTTAAGCGACGATATTTCTCGTCGCGCAAATGTTTCGCGCCAAAAAAATTCCCCCTGCTTTTTTAAACCTGTTTGTGCGACGAAAAATTTTTTTGTCGCGCATATACATTTCGTGCGACGAAAAATTTTGGTGGCGCAAATTTTCAGTGGATTGCGTGACGAATATTTTTGTTCGTCGCGCCAGTATGGTTTGCGCGACGACTTATTCTTCGTCGCGCAATCTTTCGTCGCGCAAATGGTGAAACGTAGTAGTGCCATTTAAGCTACAAGTCACTTCAACTTGACAATAAATATGACTAAATCAATATTCTAGATTATGTAAATGATGATGTATGCATGATTTACCTTGATTAGCTGATTTCCATAGTGCAGCTTCAAAGATCTTGATAATTGTATTAGTGACCTAACAATCTATATCCTTTTTTTGGTCAATAACATTCCATATCCTAACTCAGAAAAGTATGAATGAAACTAAAAATCATAATTGGTCTAGTGCCCTTGAAAGTCAAAGTGAGTCACGTTCACATTGACTTTTGCGTCTTACTTTACCCCAGTCATTAAGTTTGTAAAAAACACCTATTAAAAAGGATGACATGGTGTTATGAAATAATTGCAAGTACATAATTCGCACAAGTAATAGAAATAAGTAGATTATCGTTCCCACAGAGACCGTATTGTCCATACGAAAATTTGCAAGAAAATGACATGAATAAATCTGGTTACTTACAATAAATAATAAACAATTTCCCTCTTCCTGTCCTCATTACCTACCTCGTCCTCACCCTCATACACCAGGCACCCCACACACCCACACCCCGCTTCTCTCTTTTTCCTCCTCTCCCCACCACTCTTAGCCTGATTCCCAATCCATTAATTTTACATTTCACATTTTAAAATCTTATTAATAGTCAAGTTAACTTTTTTTTTATTTTTTTATTGAAAATATTTTTTCACACATGGCACTTCCATGACAAACATTTCAGCGAACTTTGGGTTCCATTCATACCATGTCAATATTTTCAATGGATATTGTGACAAACTTGCCAGGGAACCATTCATACCATATCAGTACAACCTCATCTTCCATAGTTTTGGTTGGTTCAATCCAAGCATTCTCAATAGTATACCACACTAGATCATCAAGGGCCGAAACGAAAGCTCTCATCTTAGCTTTCCATCCAGCATAGTTGCTCCCATCAAAGTAGTGTGGGTGAGTAACAGAATCGGCAGCCCAATCCATACCAAAGTGATGTAGCCTAAGATCTCAATAAGTATATCTAGTGACGTTTTGATACCAATTGAAAATGCGTGGGTAAACCACCCAATAGCTTAGAAAGGGTGAATAGGCTTTTATCATATTTTAAGTTCAATTTTAATATTATCAAATTGAAAATTAAATCAAATAAATCCAGTTCTAAAAAAAATCAAATAAACAAGCAATAATGTATGCAACGAATTTAAACTTGGAAAAACCCCAAGATGAGATTGAAAAATTACGGGCATTTTGCCAGGCAGAAAACAACTTTGGTCATATATAGTGAGCACGTGCAACGAAGTCTTGGGTGCGATGAGATGACTAATAGGATGTGCCAATAAATCGACGAATAATTTTTCCATGGCCTGCAATGTCAATTTTCCAAGACTAAAAGCCACCACCAAAAAACAATGAAGCGATATTGGGGAGTTGGGAATTGAACCTAAGATCTCATATGCAACAGTAACTACTCTTAACCATTTAAGCTACAAGTCCCTTCAACTTGACAATAAATATGACTAAATCAATATTCTAGATTATGTAAATGATGATGTATTCATGATTTACCTTGATTAGCTGATTTCCATAGTGCAGCTTCAAAGATCTTGATAATTGTATTAGTGACCTAACAATCTATATCCTTTTTTTGGTCAATAACAATCTATATCCTAACTCAGAAAAGTGTGAATGAAACTAAAAACCATAATTGGTCTAGTGCCCTTGAAAGTCAAAGTGAGTCACGTTCACGTTGACTTTTGCATCTTACTTTACCCCAGTCATTAAGTTTGTAAAAAACACCTATTAAAAAGGATGACATGGTGTTATGAAATAATTGCAAGTACATAATTCGCACAAGTAATAGAAATAAGTAGATTATCGTTCCCACAGAGATCGTATTGTCCATCCGAAAATTTGCAAGAAAATGACATGAATCAATCTGGTTACTTACAAAAAATAAAAATATTAATTTACAATAAATAATAAACAATTTCCCTCTTCCTGTCCTCATTACCTACCTCGTCCTCACCCTCATACACCAGGCACCCCACACACCCACACCCCCTTCTCTCTTTTTCCTCCTCTCCCCACCACTCTTGGCCTGATTCCCAATCTATTAATTTTACATTTCACATTTTAAAATCTTATTAATAGTCAAGTTAACTTTTTTTTTATTGAAAATAATTTTTCACACATGGCACTTCCATGACAAACATTTCAGTGAACTTTGGGTTCCATTCATACCATGTCAATATTTTCAATGGATATTGTGACAAACTTGCCAGTGAACCATTCATACCATGTGAATATTTTCAATGGATATTGTGACAAACTTGCCAGTGAACCATTCATACCATATCAGTACAACCTCATCTTCCATAGTTTTGGTTGGTTCAATCCAACCATTCTCAATAGTATACCACACTAGATCATCAAGGGCCGAAACGAAAGCTCTCGTCTTAGCTTTCCGTGCAGCATAGTTGCTCCCATCAAAGTAGTGTGGGTGAGTAACAGAATCGGCAGCCCAATCCATGCCAAAGTGATTTGGCCTAAGATCTCAATAAGTATATCTAGTGACCTGCTTTGATACCAATTGAAATTGCGTGGGTAAACCACCCAAATAGCTTAGAAAGGGTGAATAGGCTTTTAAAATATTTGAAGTTCAATTATAATATTATCAAATTGAAAATTAAATCAATTAAATCCATTTCTAAAAAAAATCAAATAAACAAGCCAATGAATTTGAACTTGGAAAAACCTCGAGACGAGATTGAAATATCATGGGCATTTTGCCAGGCAGAAAACAATCCATTAAGAATAACAAGTACATAAAAGACTCGACTCTACTCGACTCAACTAACTTGACTCTTCTATAAGGCAACCAAACCTCACATCTCTTGCTACTTCCCAATCTGGCGAATTGATTTCCATTCATCTTCTCAAGCACGGCACAAGTGTTCGTCATTCATCAATCACCTTGAGGCACAAACCCATTAAGACTTGTCTTCTTGACACAACATGAGGCACAAGTCACCAACTCCAAGATATATGTGTGAATGAAGATTATAATTCAAGTAGATTCAACAAGGAACAATCTACTTGAACTATACATATATGCACAATGAACTCACTCAAGAAAAGACGTTTGAAGCACAAAGATATTGTGTGTGAGTTGCGTCTTTTTACTATTACAAAAACCAAGTATTTATATTCTTAAAACTTGTTTTAGAATCAAACTAGGAACATGTAAAAATACCCAATAGGATTAGGAACAAAATTCCTGAAAGAAAATATGTGTAGAGTTTCTAGGAAACTCATACCAACCGTAGGAAGGAGTCCCAAAAAGATTGGGAAAATAATAATAATTTAAAACTGTCCAAAACTGAAAAACAAAATTGAAATTCGCGTCTGCCGCTCGAGTGCGCCTTTTCCAAAAATGGGACTTCGCCTTGAAACTTTTATACAAGACACGTAACATTTGGATGAACATGCTGCTAAAATTGCATGCTATTCTATGTCATTTAAGGCACTCTGCTCATCAATTCAAGTTGAGTGATGCGTAAATAAAACTTCTAACCACCTATGAATGCATGCATGGTCAATAAGTCAAACTTACCTTTCCTAATCATGAGTTGAGGCAACCTTGTGCTTTAGAGCTTCAAAATCTTTGTTCCTTTTCATCACTTCTAATCAAATATTCATCACTTGAACCTTACTCGATCTATCCTATAAAGATTACATAACATGGCTTTTGGGTTGGGCTAGGAACATGCCAACACAGAAATCTTGCCTTAACATAGATTATCGTTCCCACAGAGACCATATTGTCCTATTAAGTACCAATTTTGATTAATCATTAAATCTATTCGAATGATTGATTAAGAAGTTTAATCAATGCAAAGGACCCACTAGTGTAGTGGTTTGGAGCAAATGCTCCCCCACTACTACAAAAAGTGACAAAGATGACCAGAAAAAAACGACGGTCTAAGGGAAAACCGTCGTTGTTTTTTAAAAGACGACGGTTCTATAAAACCGCCGTGTAATAACACCTTAGACACCTAAAAAATGGAGATTCCAATGGTTGTTCATAAAAGACGATGCACCTAATTCAAAAACCGACGTCTTATTGAAATGGGATTTCCGCATACTAAAATCTAAGCTAACAAAGAACGCCAGAAGTTATGAATAGACCGACGTAGAAAGTATAGACGACAATTTCAAAAAAAGCTGTCGTTTTTACTCAGAAATTAACACGATGAAGTTTTCGTATAAGGCGCCATATAATTACAAATAAATCCACGGCGGTATAATACAAAATACCGCTGTATTAAATTAATGTACAACTACGGCAAAGATAAATATATCGACGTCTTTCTCGTATAGTTCTACGACGGTATCTTTAACTTTCACCATGTTGGGGTTTTTCATTTAACGACATATTATAAAATTTAACGTCGTATTTATTCACTTTATACGTCATACCTTATATTTAAACCGTCGTCTTAAGAAGAATTTTTTTTAACAATTTATTTCTTGGATTTTGTTATCCTACGTCGGTAGATCAACTTAATGACAAGAATTGAAATAACCACGACGGTTTATATAGAAAACCGCCGACATAATCAGATTTTTCTGAGATCCCAAGGGTTACGAAATCTTACCAGATGGAACTCTATTCCTCATCATAATCTTACCAGAAAGACAATATTTTAGAGGTTAATGATGTATGTGTATTTGTGTCTTTGAGATACACAAACGCACATACACATTAACATCCAAAAAATTGCCTCTGAAATTTGACGACGGTAGCCTCAGATTTGCAATCAGAGAGACAATTTTTTGGAAGTTGATGATGTGTGTGCGTTTGTGTAGATACACAAACGCACACACACATCAACATCCAAACAATTGCCTCCTAAAATTTCACGACGGCAGCCACAAATTTGTAATCAGATAGACAATTTTTTGAAAATTGGTGATGTGTGTATCTTTGTGAATCAGATACACAAACAGACACACACACCAACATCCAAACAATTGCCTCCTAAGAGGTGAGGTGAGATAGAGAAAAGGGCAAGAAAAAGTTGAAACCCTAATTGAAAACTAAAACTGAAAGAACTCGTGAAAAAAAATATATTTATAATTAAAAAATCAAATCCACGTCGGTTATATTACACATAACGACGTTTAACAAAACGAATCCACGTCACGAAACAAATATATTGCGTCGTCTTAGTCTCAGAGCAAAAACCAACGACAGAATCAATTAACTGACGTAGAAATTAAAGACGTCGGAAATTATAAACCTACCGCCATCTTACGACAAAAAAGACGACGGTAAAACAAAAAACCGTCGTTGTTTTTATATTCGCATGTGATTTAAATCAGTCAACCAAACAAGAAACTTTACAAATTCTAGATCATTAATTTCCGTCATTTAAATTTCCTCGGGAAAAAAAACTCTATTTATAACGCACTGTAATTGAAAACTAAAACTGAAAGAACTCGGAAAAAAAAACTCTATTTATAATTAAAAAATCAAATCCACGTCGATTATATTACACCTAACGACATTTAACAAAAAGAATCCACGTCGCGAAACAAATATATTGCGTCGTCTTAGTCTCAGAGCAAAAAACCAACAACAGAATCAATTAAGTAACTGACGTAGAAATTAAAGACGTCGGAAATTATAAACCTACTGCCATCTTACGACAAAAAAGACGATGGTAGAACAAAAAACCGTCATTGTTTTTATATTCGTATTTAATTTAAATCTGTCATCCAAACAAAAACTTTACAAATTCTAGAACATTAATTTCCGTCATTTTAAATTTCCTCGGGAAACAAAAATCTATTTATAACGCACTGTAATTGAAAACTAAAACTGAAAGAACTCGGGAAAAAAAACTCTATTTATAATTAAAAAAATAAAATCCACGTCAGTTATATTACACTTAACGACGTTAACAAAATAATCTACGTCGGTAATTATAAACCTACCGCCATCTTACTTTAATATACTACGACGACAAAAAAGATGACCAAAGCATTGACCGTCGTTTCAAATTTGGTGTGTTCTCTTTCTGCAGGACTTGGATAGTTCAAAGCATTGACAATGTCTTTACAAATTTGATTGCTCAGGCTTTAGAAGCCATTTGAAGCCATTTCTATTCTTTATCGCATTCTTGAAAACCCATCTTCTTCTTCTGAAGCTCTACGGATAAAGGAACAGGCTATCAAAAATCTGATGGATCTTCTTAGCCAAGAAAATCGAGCAGAGGATCAGGCACATCTGATCTTTAGATTTCCCTTTGCAAAGAAATGGCGCAGTGGACCCGTGCTGAGAAGCGAACTTTCCTTCGACAGCGAGTGGAGGCCAGGCTTGCATCTCTTTTGATGGAAAGCAAGGAGTATTCAGAAGCACTAAGTCTCCTATCAGGCCTGATCACGGAAGTGAGAAGTCTAGATGACAAGCTTCTTCTTGTGGACATAGATTTGTTGGAGAGTAAGCTCCATTTCTCTTTGAGAAAGACATCCAAATTATTGTCTTTGAGAGGTGAGAGAGAGTGTCTGTGAGAGAGGAAGAACTTGGAACCCTAAATGAAAACTGAAACTGAAAGAAAGCGACAAATTTATACAATAAATTTTTAAAACCCACAGCGGTCATTACACACAAACCGCCGTTTAATTTTAAAATCAACGTCGGTTATTATTTAATATACGTCGTATATTATAAAAATCCACGTCGGTATATTAAAAAACGACGTGTTAAATCCTTGTACCATGACGCGAGATATTAATTTATCGACTTTTATTTTGAGTTTACTACGATGGTACCTACAACACTACTGTCGTATTTATTTACCACGTCCTAAGTTCAAATTATCATCGTAGTTTTTTATTTATACGTCATCGTTCTCTATAAACCGCTGTCTTATTTTTTTGAAACGGTTTGTGTATATATTCAACTTTTCGTCTACCTGACTTACACATGCATTGTTTCCAAACTCGATAAAAAATTTCAATCTCCAAGAGAAAACTTTTCGTCTTTTTTCCTTGTCAGAGAATTGTCAGTGTATCTCATCGTCTTCTCTCGTCTTCGTCGTCTTCTCTGAACTTAAACACCAAACTCCGAGAGGAAGCTTTCATTGCACGCAAAAGGTAAGCTTTCATTTCTCACTATTTTTGTTGCTGTTTTGCATGCTCATACGATTTTTGTTTCGAAAATCTTTTTACCTTTTTTCTGGCCAAAATCATTTTAATTCTTTCCAAGTTTGATAAAATATACAGACAAGAGGGATAGTTTCCAACTTTGAACACAACTACTTCAACTAAATAAGACGACGGTAGCTTCTTATTTACGTGGTTAAATATGTAGACCACGACGGTTCATCAGTCGCCCTAGCATCGTCTGAAAATTGGTCTAAGTTGTTTTTAAAATGACCTTCTTTTTTTTGTTTTCTTGTTTGATTGCAGGTTTGATTTCTCTGAACCATGGTTTTTGTTCTTCCTAATTTGATAAAATACAAAGAAAAAGAAAGTAGTGCTTGGGATCTTATATAGACGACGGTATCTTATTATTCACGTTGTGTGAATGTTAATATCACGACGTTGTACTAAGATACCGTCGTCTATATAAGACTCCAAAACCTTCTTTCTTTGTCTTTGTATTTTATCAAATTAGGAAAAACAAAAACCATGGTTCAGAGAAATCAAACCTGCAATCAAACATTCACAGACAAAGAAATAAGGGTTTGGAATCTTATATAGACGACGGTATCTTATTATTCACGTCGTGTTAATTTTAATACCATAATGTTATATTAATATTAATGTCGTTTGAATTTAATTATCACGACGGAGTGTAAATATCGCCATAATAACTTCTTATTACGTCTTCTTTTATATTGTTTCGTCGTTGTTTAAGTACCATCGTTTTAAACATTTATTACGTCTGATGTTATGTTATTGCGTCGTGTAAAATCTTATCATACGTCGTGTTTTATGAATAATCGTCGTTTGTGTTCTTAATTTTTTCCTGAAATATTTTCACTTGCAGGTTTGATTTGTTTGTAACCATGGTTTCTCAAGACCAAAGTAAGGACTCTGGCTAGAAAAAAAATGGAGGTAAGGAGCTTGGAATGGTAACTCCTCAAGACAAGTCCTTGAAGAAGATGAAGTTTGTTTCATTTGCTGAGACAGAACCAGCCAGCACGACAACAATTTCTGAGGATTCAAAGTCAGGTCGAGGTATGAGCACAATGCCTCGTGGTGTGAAGAGAAAATTTTAGAAAATCAAGCCAGTTGTTGAGTACAATAAAAGGGGGAAAGGATGTGGCCCTGCACATACTGAGATGCAGTCTTACATTGGTGTGTTGGCACACTCCAGAGTCCCACTTGTGGACAAGAAATGGGCTAAAATACCCAAGGATATACAGGAGCAGATTTGGGAAGCCGTTGACATGGCTTTTGTGGTTGGTCAAGGGGGCAAGAACCTGGTGTTATCTTTTGCTGCCAAGAAATGGAAGGATTTCAAGTCTACACTAACCAGGCATTATATCCTTCCATACATCAAGGAGAGGGAGAAATTAAGCCAACCCCCTGAACTATATAAATTCATAGAGAAAGCAGAATGGGATGCCTTTGTGGCTTCAAGGTTATCCCAAGAATTTGTGTGTGTGCATTCTCAACATTCATAGATTAGGGAGAAACTTGAGTACAATCATCGATTATCTCGAAAAGGATATGCTGGTTTGGAGGATCAATTGGAGGAAACCATGCCTGGGGTAGAAATTGATCGATCTACCTTATGGAAGAAAGCTAGACAAGACAAAGATGGTAACATCCCTGATCCAAAGGTGGTAGAGAAAGCAAAATTAATTGTAACCCTACTCACTCTGTTTTAAATTTTTATTAAACTCTGTATTGCCCTGATAATTCTTATTACGTCTTATGTTATATTTACCGTTATGTGAATGATATTACTACGTCGATATATTTTAAAAAACGTCGTTGAAGGCATTCTCAGTGTATCTGGCAGTAATGATGTGTTGACCTTGGCTTTGGGTCCCGAGCATCCAGGGAGAGTAAGAGGGGTAGGTGCTGGGATTTCCCGTAGGCAATACTTCAATTTACATAGACAACAGAGGGTAAAGTTTGCCGATCAATTGAAGGAAAGTGTAAGAATTGTCCTTCAAGAAGAGACTAAGAAGATGGAAGCTAGATCAAGGGAAGAGACTTTAAGGATGGAGGCTAGAACCAAGCAATTGGTAGAGGCTGAGAGGGAACATTTACTGAGTCAGCTTTCCCAACTCATCCCCAATTTTGATCCAACCGTGCTTAAACCGAAAACTAGCCCCTGTCAAAACCAAGGTCTAGAGCAAAGTCCCAAAAATCTAATGTTTGACAAAGCAAGCTGCTCTGGGATGTGAGATCCCTACATTTTGAGGATGATACTGCCAAAAATGGGAAAAAGCAGGAAGAAATGGTAACATATCTGAACTTTGAATTCTCTGTTTTGTAAAAGAGCTATTAGACGTCATTATTATGAAGCAAACCGTCGTTTGAAATACATACCACGACGATTTTATTAATAAACCGTCGTTTGTATTTCAATACAATGTCATATTTAGTTTACTTGTTTTACACGCCATTAGACGTCGTTATTTTTGAAAACTTTTGTGGTGATTTAGACGACGGTTTTAGTCCTTACCGATGTAATATATGAATCCCCACGACGTTTATTATTTACCATCGTTTAATAATTTTAAGACGTCCATAATTTTTACATACTGTCTTAAGTTATGCCTTACCACGACGTTTCTGATTTAATTTTTTTACTTTCTGTACAATCTGTCTTATATATATATATATTTCTTTTTTACTTAAAACAGAAATGTGGGGATTTAGAAAATCAAGATGAAGAGAAGAAAGAAGAAAAAAAAGTTGAAGAGAATAAAGAAGAAAAAAAAGATGAAGAAAACAAAGAAGAAAAAGAAGATGAAGAGAAGAAAGAAAAAAAGAAGATGAAGAACTTTGCCTTTTTTATTTGTTTTTCAAATTTCAGACGTCGATAGTTTCTTTAAACCGTCGTTTGTTTTCAAATTAGACGTCGTAATTTGTTTCCTATGACGTAATAAATTATTCAACACGACGGTGTTTTGTTACCGTCGTTTAAATTATTATCAAACGACGTTGTTTTCTTTAAACCGTGGTGTTTATTGAATTACCACGTCATTTTATTTTGCTTTATTTCTTTAAACAGGGTATTGAAGTAGCTGATTATTCAAATGTGGAGGTGCCATCTTCCTTACAATCCCTTTGTCGTTATGTGGAAACCACACTAAAGCCTCATGAGAAGATCATGATCTTTACAATTGGGAAGGAGGTGTTTGGTGCAGATCGCAGTACCTTCGTCTTGCCTGAAGATATTACACAGTTAGCAGGCATGGAAGAAATTGGGGCTATTGTGCTTGCAGTATATATGAGGTTTGTCCTTATCAAATATTTATTTCACACTCAAATTTGTTGAAAAAAAAAAAAAAAAAAAAATTACAGCATAAGACATCGGTGGTTTATTTATTGAGTCGTTTGAAACTACTAACCACGTCGTTAGTTATGTACCGTCGTTATAAATTAAGTATAACGTTGATTTCTATTTCATTGTGTCGTGTGAAATTGTATAATACGTCGTTTTTTTATAAATAACCGTCGTGTGTTTTTTGTGCTGACTTTTTATATATCTTTGTTTTATATATTTAGGTGCTTATATGATCATTTGAAAGTAGCAAATATGCTCAACGTGGTTGGCTTTATCGACCCTGCTCAAGTTAGTGCCAACGCTGGGTCACTAACTGACAGATAACGAATTGTAGCCAGTCGAAGTCAGAAGACAGATGGTGAACAGATTTTCATGATGCCTTACAATCCAGGGTTAGTCTCCTTAACAGGATTTTGTTTGTATGATGCACTGCGTATAAAACTGTTTAACTAATTTTGTGCCATTTGAAACATCTAACCACGTCGGTTCTTTATTTATTGAGTCATTGGAAACAACTAACCACGTCATTAGTTAATTACCGTCGTGATAAATTTATAATGACGTCGATTGCTACGTTATTTCGTCGTGTGAAACTATATAATACGTTGTTTTTATAAATAACCTTCGTTTGTTTTCTTGTGCTGACTTTTTTATATATCTTTTGTTTTATATTAATTTTGTGCAGCCGTCATTGGGTCTTGCTGATTGTGAGAGCAAAGAAGGAAACCGTCTATTTTCTGGATCCTCTGCCTGGAAATCGTGTGGTTAATGAGGAGGCCAAAAACATGGTGAACAGTGCTATAAAAATTTATAATTCCCACATAGGCAGACAAGGCCGTAAAGCACCCATTTGGAAAACTCTGCCAGGCACACCAAAGCAACCCAGCAATGTCGAATGCGGGTATTATGTCATGCACTTCATGAGAGATACCATCATGGATCCTTCCCTGGAGTTTGAGAAGACGGTAAGAAGAAAATTTTCAAATACATTTTATGTGGTTTTTTGCATTATCAACGACGGTCCTTTAAAATTACCGTCGTTGAATCGATATACTACGTCGGTTATGAAAATAGCGTCGTCTGTGATTGAATTTCTTTTTATTTATAAAGCTTAATAATCATTTTTTATGGATTGCAGTTTGCCAAGGGAAAAGAGCAAGCGCCATACCCCCAAGCACCATTGATGAAGTCAGGAATGAATGGGCAGAGTTTGTTTGCCTTCATGTGGACTAGAGGATTTTTAGAACACTTTATATTTTTATATAATGTACAAATTTTGTCTATAATATATAATGTACAAATTTTGTCTATAATATACATCCGTTTTTTCCCTGAAAATTTGTTGAGGTTTTCTTAATTTAAAAAAAAAAAACAAATTGCGTAACCGAGGTGTAATAGTTTGAAACAAAACCGACGTAAAAGGATATTTAGACGACAGGTATGACGTGGTAATTAAATTACATGCCGACACCTTTTTTGTTTAAGTCATGATATAACGTTTGTACGTCGATAGGACGTCATTTTTGTGAAAATTTAGCCATGGTTTCGCTTTTAAACGACGTCCTTTCAACAAGTAAGTCGTTTATAATATTTACAACGTCGTTACTTTCTTAAAGTGGACATGGTTTGTTGTGTTTGTAGGAATATTTTATTCTATTTCATTCAAAATATTCATAATAAATATAAAATAGATCAAAAAAATGCAACTTCAACTCCTATGAAGTTATTGATATATTTTCTTCCTCCTAAACCTTAAAAAAATTCAATTTGAGTAATACAAATTTAAAATGACCACCCAAAAATAAATTGTTTTGATGAGTCATGACATCACTTGTAGTTTGATGGTTTAGGGTTGTTATTTATTAGGGTTTAGGAATAAAGGATATTTTTGGGGTTTACGGTTTATGTTTGTTATATATTAGGCTGTAAAACCATAAACCCTTTTATAAAATTATATTTTAAAAATATATAATTTAAGGTTTAGGGTTTAGGGTATTACTTTTTAATGACGGTGATTGAGTCGTGGAATATTGAGTTTACATCGGATTGTGAAACATCCGCCATGATTTCTCTTTTAAACGACGTCCTTTTTACAAGTGAGTCGTTTATTATGATTTACAACGTCTTTAATTTATTAACCCCGACGTGGTTTGTAGTTGATACAAGAATATTTTATTATTTTTAATTCAAAATATTCAAATAAATATACAATAAATCCAAAAAATGCAACGTCAACTCCTATGAAGTCATTGATATATTTTCTTCCCCCTAAACCTTAAAAAAATTCAGTTTGAGTAATACAAATATAAAATGACCACCCAAAAATAAATTGTTTTGATGAGTCATAACATCACTTGTAGTTTGATGGTTTAGGGTTGTTATTTATTAGGGTTTAGGATTAAAGGATAATTTTTGGGGTTTACGGTTTAAAAGGCGTTATATATTAGGCTGTAAAACCATAAACCCTTTTATAAAATTATATTTTAGTAATATATAATTTAGGGTTTAGGGTTTAGGGTATTATTTTTTAACGACGGTATTTATGTTTTCAGTCGATGTTTACTTTTTGGATGACGGTGTTTATGTTCCTTTAAAATGACGTTTTACATGAATAACAACGTCACCGATTTAAAAAAAAACGTAAAAGGTTATTAAAACGACGCTATTGGTTTAACAGACGATGTGGTTTCTTTAAAATAAACGGCGTTGAGTTCAGTGTTTGAGTCGTGGAATAATGAATTTACGTCGGTTTTGGTAAAACTTTCGCCATGGTTTCTCTTAGTTTTGACGACTTCGATTGTTTTTTTGGTCGATGTTTTCAAGAGCGCGCTTTCCAAAAAAATTTTGCGCGACCTAAAATTTTCAGATTTTGGGCAACATAACATTTCGTTCTTTCCCTTAATCTCTAATTCAAAGTTGGGCGCTCCAGTCTCTTTCGAATCCAAGTAGGCCATAATTTGTGAGCTCTGCCAACCTGTAGGCATACGACGACGGTTTTTTAATAAACCGTCGTCTGTATTACTTATACACGACGGTGTTCTTTATCTACCGTCGTGGTTATAATTAGACGACGTTTGTTGAAAACCGTCGTCTATATATGTCAAATACGTCTGTTTTGTTTAAAAACCGTCGTCTGTGTAGTATATTACTTGCTATTAAAACTTTATATAATCTGCTATAGTGATGGTCATTGCTTGTCTTTTCACTTTATTATAGATAATAGGGTATAGTGTCGGAGATGGATAAGTCATGGATGCACTCGGATAGAAGATCGAAGGCATATGAGTTAGGGGTGGAAGCATTTTTGAACTTTTCTGTAGAAAATCTTCTAACTACAACACATATCCGTTGTCCATGTGTTAAATGTGTTAATTTGAAATTGTTTGGGGTTGGAATTATAAGGGATCACTTATACTTTAATGGAGTTGACCAAAGCTATAAGAATTGGACATTTCACGGAGAACCTTGGGAAGCAACTACTAATGCTAGTAGAAATGTTGAAGAAGATGATGACCATAGTAGGTACAGTTTTGTGTCTGAAGAAATAGAGATGGATGATAATGATTTTGGTGATTTTGGATCCGATCCTTATGAGTTTGCCAATGTGATTGGGGATGGAGATCAACCATTGTACCCTGGTTGTAGAAAGTACACGAAGTTATCAGCATTAGTGAAGTTGTATAATTTGAAGGCAAAACATGGGATGAGTGATGTCTGTTTTACAGAATTATTGATACTTCAAGGCGATTTGCTTCCAGAAGGAAATACAATACCGGCCTCTATGTATGAGGCAAAAAAGACTTTGTGTGCATTGGGGCTGAGTTATGAGAAAATGCACGCATGCCCCAATGATTGCATCTTGTATAGGAAGGAGTATGAAGATTCAACTAATTGTCCTACTTGTGGTATCTCAAGGTGGAAGGAAGGCAAAGATTCAATCTTGAAAGAGGGTGTGCCAGCGAAGGTGGTGTGGTATTTTCCTCCAATTCCAAGGTTTAAAAGGATGTTTCGATCACATGAGACAGCTAAGAGTTTGACTTGGCATGCTGCTAGAAAATCAATTGACGGTCAGATGTCTCATCCGGCGGATTCCCCGTCTTGGAAACTTCTTGATGATAAATGGCCCGAGTTTGGTAATGAGCCGAGAAACTTGAGATTGGCTCTTTCATCTGATGGATTCAATCCCCACAGTTCTCTAAGTAGCAGATATAGTTGCTGGCCAGTTATCTTAGTTACATATAATCTCCCTCCATGGCTGTGCATGAAACGAAAGTTCATGATGTTGACCTTATTGATTTCCGGTCCTAAACAACCCGGAAATGATATAGACGTCTACTTGGAGCCTTTGATTGATGATTTAAAATCTTTGTGGGATGGGATTGGAGGAGTGTATGATGCACATAATGGAGAATACTTTACACTCAGAGCTGCATTAATGTGGACAATTAATGATTTCCCCGCCTATGGAAACTTATCTGGTTGTGTTGTTAAAGGATATAAAGCTTGTCCAATATGCGGCGATGATACACCTAGTCACAGGTTGAAAAATGGCCACAAAATTTGTTACATTGGGCATAGAAAATGGTTACCAATCAATCATCCATATAGGAGGCAACGTGCAGCTTTTAATGGGAAACCTGAATATGGCACGCCTCCCGAGCCATTAACCGGAGAAGAAGTGCTGCATATGGTTGAAGATGGTGACAGAGTTTGTTGGAAGAAGAAATCAATATTCTTTGATCTCGAGTATTGGAAATACCTTCCTGTGAGGCATGTCCTAGATGTTATGCACATTGAGAAGAATGTTTGCGATAGTATCATTGGTACATTGCTGGAGATCCCTGGAAAAAATAAAGAGGGATTGCTGCTCGATTAGATTTATTGAACATGGGGGTCAAAACTGATTTGCAACACGGAGTATGGAGAAAGATTACTCGTTTGCCTCCCGGGCCTTGGAATTTGTCAAGAGCAGAGAAGAGAGAGGTTTGCAATTCTTTCTATGGTATGAAGGTCCCTGAAGGTATTCTTCAAATATAAAAAATCTTGTATCTTTACAAGATTCAAGACTTCTTGGCTCTTAAATACATGATTGTCATACAATTTAATGCAACAATTGTCCACTGTGGACAATTCGTTCTGTTGGAGAGCCTGCAAGGTATGCAATAACTCGTTTGTGCTTCTTCTTCAATGCTTATGTGCAAAGACGTTTTGATGTCTTCCAAGCTAGATAAGTTGGAAGAAGATGTAGTAGTTACTTTGTGTTTGCTTGAAAGTACTTTCCCCCTTCATTCTTTGATATCATGGTTCATCTAGTAGTACATCTTGTCAGAGAAGTTCGTCTATGTGGGCCAGTATATTTTAGATGGATGTATCCGTTTGAAAAGATATATGAAAGTGCTAAAGGGGTATGTTCAGAATCGTACTCGTCCCGAAGGTTGCATTGCTGAGCGGTATATAGCTGAAGAAGCTGTAGAGTTTTGTACCGAGCATTTATCTGATGTTAGTACAGTTGGAGTGCCTTCAAGCCAAAAGATGGGAGTTTCAAAGCCATTATCAGGTTGCACAGTGAGCGTAGTTGATCGGGACCTGTTGAACCAAGCACATCTATATGTCTTGGAGAATACGGAGGAAGTCCTACCTTATATCGAGTACGTATGAGTTTTATTCTTTAAGTTTCCATTTTAAATTATTTCTTATGTTTATCTTATATGTTTGGGACCGTAATGCTTGAATTTTTCGTGTCATGTAGGCAACATATGATCCACATCAAGACCGCTTATCCAAAATTTAGAAAGAGAACAAAGTGGCTGCAGGATAAGCACAATAGCACTTTCATTCAATGGCTACGCTTCAAGGTATATGTTATTGAATAACATATTGGACTTTTAATTTTCTTCTTTCTATGTTAGATTGAATTAAGATATGATTAATTTGCAGGTTCAAAGTGAACTTAATGAGGAAGACAATCATGGCGTATCAGAAAATTTAAGGTGGCTAGCAGCTGGTCCAAACATGGCAGTGCCATCATATAGGAGCTATCTTATTAAAGGTATTAAATTTAACATCAAGGCACAAGATGATGTGCGGACAACTCAAAATAGTGGAGTTTATTTACTTGCACATACCATGCAAGTTGCTAGTGCCAAGGTAAAAACCCAATTCTCTCAAATATGGGTTTCTATGGTGTCATTCAAGAAATTTGGGACCTTGACTACCAAAAGTTTACAATCCCAGTCTTTAGGTGTGATTATAACATCTTCACCATCTAGAGTAATGATGAGTCTAAGAACACCATGCATTGATGGGTGGTGGGTAAAGATAGTACTTCTGGTCTTGTAGTCGACGAACTTGGATTTACCCTTGTAGATTTGAGTAAAATTGGACATACGAATGACCAATTTGTTTTGGCTTCTCAAGTCAAACAAGTATTTTTGTTGACGACCCGATGCATCGTGGTTGGTCGGTAGTGTTATCAATGCCTAATAGAGAATATAATGATGTTATTGGTGATGATGATGTCTTAGGTGATGTGAGAATTGAGTGTGAGCCATTTACTAGAGGGATGCCAAATGTTGACACATTTGATGAACTAGTGGGTGAGTTTGGGAGTCAAAATATTCGAGATGGGTGTGAAGATATATGGATTGAATGATGCTTATGTAATTGGCAGTGTATGACATTAATTTTGTAATATATTGTAATGTGATTTCTTCACCTTCCTTATACAGGTTTTGGCCACAAAACAATCAGTACAAAAAATACTGGTTCAAGATTACAAACACGACGGTCTTGATAAAAATGTGAAAAACAAACGTCTGTTCTAATAAAAAACGACGTTTTGGAGCATTCAACGACCGCAATATATTTACCGACGTCTTAAAGCAACGTAACAAAGAAGAACCACGACGCTATTGTGAAACAGTTATTAAGGATATCACGTCGGAGAAGCATAAAGAGCCGCCATGTAATTCCAAATAACACGACTCCAATCCCATAATACCGACGTCTAAAAGACGAGATATCTAACCTGAACGTTACAAAAGACGACGTCGTCTTAACTTTACCACGTCGCATGTTATTTCATAAACGAAGTGGAAAAGGATGAATTCACGACGATATTTTAAATCCATTAGTAAATTTGTCGACGTTAAGATATATTTGGACGTCGTTCCTTTACAAAAACAACGTTATATGAATGTATCCACGTCTCTTTTCTTATGATAATGTCGTTAAAATTTCTTTACACGGCTAATATCGGATTAACAACGTCGTCTAATAGGAATTAGACGACGGTAATTTTTTTAATGATGACATATATAATTATGAAACACTGCTGTTTTTTGAATGATAACGACGTTGTATATTGACAACAACGTCGTCTTTATAAATTAATATGTCGTAAGTAATGACCCCAACATATTTTCCACGTCGTTTATTTTAAGATCGTGTCGTTAAAACTATTTTACACTGCGGTAAACTGAGAAACCTTGCCGTGTCAGATCCATTAGACGACAATTATATTTTAAGAGATGACGTATAAATTCTGTAATACGGCTCTCAATTATTTGTAACCGACGTTGTTTATTAGTACAACGTCGTCAATTTAAATATATGCGTCGTAAGTAATGACCCAAACATCTATTTCCACATCATCATTAATAGAAAAATCGAAGTGGAAAATTCATTTCACGACGGTTGTTGAAAAGATACTGATGTAGTAGGAGTCAATAACGTCGTCGATTATGTATTTAAGAACGTCATATTTTTATTTGTCGTGAAAGGTATATTTAACGGCGTTGGGTTTTAGTTTTCGTCGTTGTATGTATATCTTGCAGCCATGTTCTGTTAATATATGTCATATGTTTCCTTTTTAACGACGTTTTTTGTTAGAATTGGTCGTCTATTCTCATCCTCGATTGTTTTTTTATCTCTTTTTCCATTACAAAGACGTCGGTTATTATTTGTTAATGACGTTGTTTGTTTTAACAACGACGGTGATTTAGCGTCGTGGTTTGACACTCAAATAGATGTCGGTCGATTCCACGATGGTTTGAAAACCGAATACACGATGGTGAATTCCCGTCGTCTTTATCCTTTTTTGTAGTAGTGCATCGTAACCACCCCCCCCAGCACGACCGACACAACCTCGACAAACGGTACTGGTGCGTCGGGGTCACAACCAGGTAAAGATTTCCTTGAATTGTAGCTGTTTTAGACCAATATTTTATAGTAGAATTTTTATTTAACTTTAATTTTATATTTCATTGCAGCCAAAAAGAACACTCGGGGGCCTTGTCGGCAATTGAAGATGGCAAAGGTCACTCAGGTGACTAACAGTCGTATCAACATCGAATACGACGAGCGGCATCGGGCTGCACCAACTGCGGAATTGCATAGCTCATTGGCCCATGACATTGGTCACGTCATTCGGACCCATTGCCCAATGAAATGGAAGTCTTGGAAAGTCATGCCTAACAAGATGAGGATGAAGGTGCTCGAACAGTTGTCGGTATGTATCCTACCTTTTAATTGTTTTTCCTTCAAACTTTATATATTTCTATGACTTAATGTATGTAATTAATTTATTGCAGACCAACTACAATTTAGAAGACCTCGACTACGAGTCATTGGCGTACGTCAACAGACTCTTTGCTGAGAGGTACAAGCAGTGGAAGACTTACACCACCATTTTCAGGCATTTGATGATCCGCAGGTCACTCTTCATGACGGTTGCCTGCGGGAGCTTGAGAGGTGAGAAGATAGTTGGGCGTGGCTCTGCGGTCATTTTCAGGAGGATGATTATGTGGTATTTTTTTATATTAAGTTCATATTTATTATACATTTTTTATTAATGTTTATTTGATTTTTTATATTTCCTTTCACTTTCAACTAATACGTTCATTTTTTGTATAACAGAAGAAGGCCCAAGCAAATAAGGGTAATAGGAACAAGAAGACTCTTCTCCACCATTCAGGTTCCAGGCCCTTCTTCTATAAGATGGACGTGCGGCGGCGGGTAATAATAAAATCTTTTATTTTCAATTTTTAATGTCATTAATATTAATATATTTTTTTCGTACTGACATTTTTCTTCTGTTGTTCAATTCAAGGGGGGTCCAAATTCCCATAGATCAACGTCTTTGCCGACATTTATGTTCGACTTGGGAATGAGTTGGCTGAGTCCTTTCATGTAAGTATTATTTAATTTTAATTATTATCTTACGCATTCATGTTTCATGGTTATTATATGAATGTTTTAATTAATATTTTACGTTATGTTAAACAGACGACGATGGTGGAGAAGAGCTAGTTGGTTCTTCAAGAGTCCGCCTCCCAACTTCCTCGCGATACTCCACTCGAGTCTGTGGATCCTCCACAAGATGCAAGGTTCAGATTCTAACCGAGACCTTGGATCAGACTCTCGAGAGGAGGCCAGGGACATATTGTCGCGGGATGGGGAATGCCCAGTGGTGGGAACCTAGAGCCCGTTCATCGTCGTAGTCAAACAGTCAGGTGACTGCTTTGACGGCAAACGTGGTCGAGCTTAGGACCCATATGTCACAGATTCTACAGTCCCTCGTCCAGTCCGGCGTTCCTATACCGCATGTTGGTCCTTCGTCGACCTCCGAGCCCCTCCAACTTGAGCATGGCCACCACACTCCTGCCTCTGTCGATAATGTCCAGACCTCCGAGCCGCATTTGCAAGACGACCACGTAGATTTTCAAACTCTTTTTGATTAGTTTCTTACTTTTTTCATTACATTGGAAACATTCCTCTTGTACTAAATACATTTATATTCTGTTTACAAATATTTTTTTCTCTTCATTATATATTTTTTTATTGCAATTTCATTTTATTAAAATAAATAAAAAAACAAAATTTATGTTTTTTACAAAATAAAAAAAAACCGTCAAAATGTAACCCCAAAAAAAAAGGTCAAAATAAATTTTAAAAAATAATATTTATTTTTGCTTGACGAAATGCTTTTCGTCGACAATTCACTTTTACAAAATAAAAGACGGAAAAATAAATTTTTAAAAAATATATTTTACTTTTGCGCAACGAAATATTTCGTCGCGCGAAAAATTAAATGCAAATAAGGATTTTCGTCCTGCAAATGTTTGAGGCACGAAGTCTTTCCTCGTCCCTAAAATTTAGTGTGATGCAAGGCCACCATCGCCCTATGTTCTCGTGACGAAGGTTAGTTCGTCGTGCACCGTTTTGTGCGACAAACAACTGTCTCGTCCCGAAATTTTTTGTGGGACAAAGGTCAACCGTCGCTCAAGTTTTTGCGACCAAGCAACATTTTTCGTCGTGCAAGGTCTTTCTTCATGATCTTTGCGCGATGGATGTTGTGCGGCGAAGTTTCTATCGTGCTGAATTTTGTGCGACTTAACTGGTTTTTGCGCGACAATCGTGGTGCAAATAGTAAAATGTCGTAGTGTATGATGAAGTCTCTAATCAAAGTAAATATTTATATTTTATTTAAAACTCAAGAAATCCAAAAAGTAGTTTACCATCCTTAAGGAATTGTTTTTCTCCATAAAAACAATGAAATAATAAAATCTGCTAAGTAATATGCCAAATTGTTTTTTTTTTTTCTCTCTGCATAAAAACATTAAATAATAAGACTTAACTATGGCTATTTTCTTTAACATAGAAATGTGTGGTGAAAAATGAACAATTGTAACCTAAATCTTAATACCTAATTAAAGAAAATGTTCCAAATAAATATAAATACCTAATCGAATACATCAGTCACGCTCTCTTGGACTACAGGGGTCCAAGAGATTTGTGGTCACTCACCGATTGATATAAATTCAACAGTTCATTCACTTTTACACTCCTTTTAAGAAACTTTTTGAACCATTAAATTAATATCCAACGGCGAGTGACCACAATCTCTTGGACTCCTGTGGTTCAAGAGATCAGAACTATCGAATACATTATACTTGGTCAAATTAATGGATGAAATTATGACATGTGGCAATATATGACACGTGAGATGCATGACAAAAATGGGATATTTGGGCCTACAAAGTTTGGTCCTTTGGGCCTACAAAAATGTGAGATGCATGAGAAATTGAGTCCAAAGTCTTGTGTTTGTATACATAAGCTTCCTTCCAAACCCAGTTTTGTCTCCTATGTCTCGTGCATCTCGTCTCCTATGTCAGATTCTAATAAGAAACAAGTTAGATCCATTTATAGAGTGTATTTATATAAATTTTATTAAAATATTGCGTAATGGGTCCAAAAGGAAAGAAGTGAGATTTTTGGTAGGCCAATTTTGAATATATGTGGACATGATATAGTAATTATTTTTGGTGAAGAAGCCACCACGAAGTGCTTCATGCATCCATCCATGATTATGTGGTAGTTATATAGCAAGAAATCATTCTCCAAAATTTTCTCCTTTGCCTTGGATGCCCACCGACGAAGTGCTTCATGCATCCATCCATGGTAAAAGCCAAAGAAGCCACTGACACAAATCAATGGCCAAAATGTGTCACTCATACATCACTTAATATGCACGAGACAATTACCAGTCCTTTCTAGTTTTCTTTTGTGGTGAGATGCTTCTTGGTGGACCAAGATAACAGAGAAATATGCTGAATTTGACTCCACATTATTTCCTGCATTATAATGACGTACCAATTTTATACAAGTGAACACGTGCAATGAAGTCTTGGGTGCGATGAGATGACTAGTAGAATTCCAATGTCAATTTTCCGAGACTAAAAGCCACCACCAAAAAACAATGAACTAACCGAAGTCTCTAACGTCCTTTAAGTGATTATTGGAATTCTCATGGAGCAGTTGAGTTACTTTTGCTGTTTTATTTCTTTAAGACTTTGGATCTTGAATGACTATTTTCTTGACTCTAGGGAATGAATATTTTGTTTTATACAAGTGATATTGGAGAGTCGGGAATTGAATTTAAGATCTCATATGCAACCGTAACTATTCTTAACCACTTATGCTACAAGTCCCTTCAACTTGACAATAAATATCAATATTCTAGATTATGTAAATGATGATGTATGCATGATTTACCTTGATTAGCTGATTTCCATAGTGCTGCTTCAAAGATCTTGACAATTGTATTAGTGACCTAACAATCTATATCCTAACTCAGAAAAGTGTGAATAAATATAAAAATCATAATTGGTCTAGTGCCCTTGAAAGTCAAAAGTGAGTCATGTTGCCACATTGACTTTTGCATCTTACTTTACCCCAGTAATTAAGTATGTAAAAAACACCCATTTAAAAGGATGATATGGTGTTATGAAATAATTTCAAGTGCATAATTTGTACAAGTAATATATAAATAAGTAGATTATCGTTCCCATGGAGACCGTATTGTCCATACGAAAACTTGCAAGAAAATGATATGAATAAATCTGGTTGCTTACAAAAAATAAAAATATTAATTTACAAAAAATAATAAACAATTTCCCTCTTCCTATCCTCATTACCTACCTCCCTCGTCCTCCTCCCAACACCCACACTTACCCCCTTCATTTCCCAATCCATTTTAATTTTACATTTTAACTTATTATTAATAAATCTTTAATTTATTTATTCTTTTTTTTTTTTTTTTTTTTTTTTTTTTTTTTTTTTTTTTTTAGTTAGTATATAATTTTTTTTCATTTTACATGACACTTACATGACATGTAACAACCCGGTCCTTAATTAATAATTAATTACTAATTTATTCCATTAAAAGACAATTATACCCTTGGAATATTTTATTAGTTTAAAAGTTGACTTTTTGACATGGAAGGAATTTGGGGATTTCAGTTGCACCGTTGCGTAGAGCGTGACGAAATGAGTCCGTAGACACGTAGTGGAATCAAATCGGAGTTGTAACGAAGGAGTTACGATCAAAAGAAGTTAAGTGGGCATAACCGTACATACTTCAAACTTCAGTTTTTAAAACCCAGTTTTCTTCCTCCTCCTCCAGTTCGACCAGCCGACTTTAGGAGAGGGTTTCTCTCAGCTCCGACCACCAAATTGAGCAAGACCAGTGCCAAACGAACCACCTCACTCCCCTCTTTCAGTATTAACCCATCCCAGCCGTGATCCGCCAGTGTGGTCGCCGGAAACCGCCACGAAACAGGGCGGTTTGGACAGTTTTTGATGGAATTTCGCGGAGCTCGTTCGGACACCTCCGGCCACCAAATCGGACTAGTGAGGTATGGATTTCTAGTTATTTTTCATGCTCTAGCTGCTGGTCTGAAAGGATTTCAGAAATTTCCAGCGTAGATAGCTCGATTTACGAGCTAGGTTTCCGCAGGTTTTCAGGTCACTGTTCCGGCCACTTCCGGCTAGTTTTTGGGGTAGGTCCAAGAACAAAAGTGGCTCCAAATGGGGTGTTATACCTAGGATAGGAGTCTTGAGCCTAGATGTTGAGTTTTTCCGGCGAGGCGTTATCGCTTTAGGCACCACGTGCTGCCAGCGCGTGTGGAGGCGCGTAGGCAGCAGGTTGGGGGCCACAGTCAGTCCTAGAATGATCTCCTAGTCCTCACGAGCGCATAGGATTTCACGGATCTTAATTCGGATATCATTTGAACCCCGAACGGATCTCGCCTACTGTGCGATTTCCGGGTTCAATACGTTTGAACTGTTGGATCGTAGTTAATTCCAAGTATGTTAATCTAGACTTTTCCAGGATCGTATAGTATTTGACGGATCGTAAAACGGAGTCCCGGATACTCCAGAATGGTCAGCCCTAGAGCGAGTTTAACAGATAAATAAACCAGTTACAGATAAACAAACCAGTTACAGATCAGGAACAGAGGAAAGAACTACGTGTGGCTTGATCCTTCAGTGAGGGTACGTAGGCAGCCTACAGTTATCAGGCGCAGCCACGAGTTAGAGCCTTTGTGGTTGCATTATTTTTCAAGGCATTTTGGTCATTTATCACCCACACCCACCAGATGTCAGTTTTAAACAGGTTTCTACCCGGATTCCAAAGTGGAAATTGGGTCAGGTCGTTTCATGACATACATTTCAGTGAACTTTGGGTTCCATTCATACCATGTCAATATTTTCAATGGATATTGCAATAAACTTGCCAGTGAACCATTCATACCATGTTAGTATAACCTCATCTTCCACAGTTTTGGTTGGTTTAGTCCAACCATTCTCAATAGTATACCACACTCGATCATCAAGGGCAGAAAGGAAAGCTCTCATCTTAGCTTTTCATGCAGCATAGTTGCTCCCATCAAAGTAGTGTGGGTGAGTAATAGCATCAGCAGCCCAATCCATACCAAAGTGATCTAGCCTAAGATCTCAATAAGTATATCTAGTGACCTGCTTTGATACCAATTGTAATTGCGTGGCTAAACCACCCAATAGCTTAGGAAGGGTGAATAGGCTTTTATCAGATTTTAAGTTCAATTTTAATATTACCAAATTGAAAATTAAATCAATTAAATCCAGTTCTAAAAACAATCAAATAAACAAGCAATAAAGTATGCAAAGAATTTTCACTTGGAAAAACCCCAAGACGAGATTAAAAAACCATCGGCATTTTGCCAGGCAGAAAATAATCCACTAAGAATAACAAGAAGTACATAAAAGACTCGACCCGACTCTTCTATAAGGCAACCAAACCTCACGTCTCTTGCTACTTCCCAAATCTCGCTAATTGATTTCCGTTCATCTTCTTAATTAAGCACTGCACAAGCGTTCGTCGTTCGTCAATCATCTTGAGGTATAAACACATTAAGACTTATCTTCTTGAAACAACACGCAAGGCACAAGTCACCAACTCCAAGATATATGTGTGAATGAAGATTATAATTCAAGTGGATTCAACGACGAACAATCTACTTGAGCTGTACATATATGCGCAATATGAACTCACTCAAGAAACGACGTTTGAAGCACAAAGATATTGTGTGTGAGTTGTGTCTTTTTACTATTACAAAAATCAAGTATTTATATACTTAAAACTTGTTTTAGAATCAAACTAGAAAGATGTAAAAGTACCCAATAGGATTAGGAAAAAAATTCCTAAAACAAAATATGTGTAGAGTTTCTAGGAAACTCATACCAACCGTAGGAGGGAGTCCCAAAAAGATTAGGAAGAAAAAATAATTTAAAACTCTCCAAAACAGAAAAAGAAAACTGAAATTCGAGTCTGCCACTAGAGCGTAGCCTTTTCCAAAAATGGGACTTCGCCTTGAAACTTTTGTACAAGAAACGTAACATTTGGATGAACATGCCGCTAAAATTGCATCCTATTCTAAGCACTTTAAGGCACTCTGCTCTTCAATTCAAGTTGAGTGATGCGTAAATAAAACATCTAACCACCTATGAATGCATGCATGGTCAATAAGTCAAACTTAGCTTTCCTAATCATGAGTGGAGACAACCTTGTGCTTTAGAGCTTCAAAACCTTTGTTCCTCTTCATCACTTCTAATCAAATCTTCATCACTTGAACCTTACTCGATATATCCTATAAAGATTACATAACATGGCTTTTGGGCTAGGAACATGCCAACACATAAATCTTGCCTTAACATAGATTATTGTTCCCACAAAGACCATATTGTCCTATTAACTACCAATTATGATTAATCATTAAATCTATTCAAATGGTTGATTAAGAAGTTTAATCAATGCAAAGGGCCCACTAGTGTAGTGGTTTGGAGCAAATGCTCGCCCCAGGAAAGGTCCTTGATTTGAGTCTTAGTATCCGTGTTATGTCCATGAGTTTAGTATGTTATTGCCCTTCTCAATAGGAAAGGTCCTCCCAAAAAAAAATGTTTGATCAATTAATTAAATTCAAACAATTATTTTAAAAAATAACAATTTAAGTAACGGTTGATAATCAAGTTTATATGGCACAAGAGCATCAGATTTCACTAGAACCAATTCTACCTAATTCTTATAGCTAATTACCCATATTGACAATTAGTTCCCCTTAATTCATCTGGTATCGTCTCTCGGGCTCAACCAAAATTATTCTCAATCAACAACTCATTCTCTCTCGAGCAACGCATTTAAAAAATCAAGAACCCATATGAAAATCTACAAGAAAACTGCATGAATCATGTTAGTCCCTCTCCAGCTCTCATTCAAAATATGGTATTTGTTATAGACAATCACCAAACATCTCTTCTCTGTCTCCGTTTGGAATATCAAATCAATTGAATATTACCCAGATTTCAAAGCATTAAAAACAATAACAAATACTCAACCTGGAATAGAAATCAGAAATTAATATAAAGTTTAACAAATATCCCTTAAAAGCGTTGATGAGTCATAAAGGGAACCCACTGTTTTGCTAAAATGTATACCACATAAGCGCCATACGAAGCGTGGCACGGGCATCTCATTTGTGTCTTTAAAAGTCATCCATGACGCAAATTAGGTGTCATGGAATGGTTTTTGTGTTGTAGTGGTTGATTTGGATGCTCCTGCATCACCTTTTCTTGGATCTCAAGCCTTTACATTTAGTATTAGTGCGTTTACAAAAAATTTAACCATTTGATTAATCTAATAGAGCTAATTATTCCAAATCAACATAATTATATTTGATTAAAAACACACATTTTATACCGTATGCACTTACCCCTTCCCAATCTTTAATGAGCTCAATTTTATTTTACTTATATTTCACTTTTAATCAACACCCCAAGTCTCCTATTACGAACCCTCTTGTCTGGCTCCCAGCTCCATGGCTACCATCTGTCCCGCAGTCCAACCCCAATCCCTCCTCCAGATTCCTATTAGACATTTCCTTATTTTACTTATGCATGTCAACTTCCAATATAATTAAATTTAAAACCCAAGACAAATCCAAAAGCATGGAATAATGAAAAACTGAAAGGCAGAGAATTGGTGACCTTGGAAAGCAATAATGGATGATGCATATACAGAATTTTGGACTTATATACATATATGAAGACTCAAGATTAATTAATAAATAATTATTGTTCTTGTTCTTGTAATTTTCATTTTCACATTTTTTACAAACGGAAACAGGTTTGAGGGGATGTAGTGCTCTCAAATCCCTCATCCAGGTGCTGATCATGTTGGCTTCAATGAAAAGTATGACTGGTTCTTCAAGGGATTCAATTTTGCAGCATATATCAAAGAAAGACGGTTTGACTATATATTTCTGCACTGGTTGGATGTATTAGGGAGGTTCCAGATCAAGAACAATCAGCCACGATTTCCTCTTCCCACTCAATCACTTGATTGCTTGATTGCTGTCATCTCTCCTAAAGACTTGCCGTTTGCCTTTCAGTTATTGATTTCCATATATTGTTAATTGTAATCAATCAGCTATTAACTAGGAAATTGTAGTATGGTAAATTCTTTACTTTCCTGTTTCTCACATTCACGTGTATAAATGTATTGTCTCTGTACAAACTCTAATGAATAAAATCATCCCATTCAATCAAAGGCCTCTGTCTTTTACATGGTATCAGAGCGTCCAACGCTCGATCGAGCAAAGATCCCAAGACAATAACCACCCAAATCTTTGTCAACAACCTCTTATCCCTTCATGGCTGACCAACCATCCAAGAATCAAGAAGTCACTGTGACTCTTTCTTCCAGTTCGACACCCTCAGTCAATTCCTTGATCACCATCAACACTGCTGCTCAGCTACCCATCAAACTCACACCCTTGAACTATCCTTCTTGGCGTCGGCCTGCACAGTTCAACGCTCACTACAAAAAAGAAATACCCTTTAGTGATGGCTAAAAAGTGTCAGGAAACATAATACTTAATGACGCAGAATCCGTCAAGAATACCACTGTCAGGAAAGGGGTACCCAATTTATTGACGATTTTTAAGTGTCAAGTAATCCTTACGCTTCAAGCAACCGTTATGCTTGACGCCTTTTAACCGTCAAGTAATCATTCTACTTCACGTTTTTTAACCGTCAACTAATCGTTCCATTTTAACCGTCAACTAACAATTCATTAATGGCTCTAAGTATCAAGATTGTAGTTATTTGACGTCTAATAAGTTTCAATTAAAAATTACTTGACATGTAACATTGTTGTATGTGTCATTTTTTTAGCAATTAGGAAAGGAAAGGCCCCAATTTTTTATCTAAATGCCGCTAGGACTAGGTGGGAAAGGGCCCTTTTTTTATTTATAATCTTACTGGGACTAGGTTTGGCCTATGCAAATATTATTTTACAACTATGAAAACTAATCTCATTATTAAGAACTTATCACTTAATTAAAACCAAATATGGGAAACCGAAAGTGCTAACTTTAACCGCAATACAAGGTAATTCAAAGCAAAGAATACTTCTAAAAACAAATCGCATGTATTGAAACTAATTGTGGGGGCCTTTTTTGTTGAGAAGGTTAGTTGGGCTCTTCCGGCGGCTATTTGGATTTATGGCTTCTTCCGGCGGCTCTTTGGATTTCTATGGTTGCATGAGTTGATACAAAGACCGTATGAGCTTGGCATGGTGAATCAGAATATTAAAGGGCTTGACATGAGAAGCTTGTGGTGTAGGAGCTAAGTGCTCAGAAGTTTAGCATGAGAGAGAGATTTGCATAAGGAATGGATGATTATGGCAGTGTGTTGTGGCATGGTTTGGATAGTGTTTGAGGCTTGAGATGGTATTCAGGGCATGGTGATAACGTCTAGAGGATGAGGTTGCCTTTGGCCATTGCTTGGTTGTTTGGTGGTCTTGTTGGTGTTTTGGACTTGAAGTGGTATGAGCACGATGCAGAGGTTAAGGCTTGGTTTTGTGTGTTTCCAGCAACTAGAGGATGAGCTTGCCTCTGGCTACTGCTTGGCTGTGTGATGGTCATGTTGGTGTTTTGGGATTGAAGTGGTATAAGCACAATGCAGAGGTTAAGGCTTGGTTTTGGGTGTTTCCAGCAGCTAGAAGATGAGGTGCAGGGTATTGGAATGGCTAAGGCTTGGTGTTTTCTAGCACAGGGTAAGCTTGCCTCTCTTTCCTTGTTCTCTGGATGATGTGCAGGGTTTGGAATGGTGTTATGAAAGAAGAGAAGCATGATGGAGGCTTGGGCTTGGTGTGTTTACAGCAGTGGGTTTTTTGGAAAGCAGAGGATAAGCTTGCCTCCCTTTCTTCCTCTTTTTCCCCATCCGATGCCTCCCATTTATAAGTGCTCGGAGTTCCTGGCAGTGCAGGAAGATTGATTTAATGCTGGAAGGTAAAAGGTTGGCAGTTTGGGTTTTAAATGCTCTAGTGTAGGGTTTTATTGAAGGGAGGTTAGGTTGCTGGAAGGTTGGGAGGTTAGGCTGTAGCTTTAAGTGCTGGAAGGTTGGCAGTTGGGGTTTAGTGTTGGGCAGAAAACTCGTGATCTCTCTCTGCTTGCCTGTGTATTGGGTTTAGGAAAGTGGACCAGAGTTTTGGAGCTCCCAATCAACCCAAAACTTCCATTATTGATCCACACCACAACCTGCTCAGCAAGCCTCACGCATGTATGTGGCTTGGGCCCACTTAAACTTGTCGGGTGGTTTTAGCATAGGAAAATGTATTATTGGCTTGGCATGGCATGTATATTATTTCTATATTTATTTAATTGATTAATTCCCAAAATACAGCTTGAATTAACGTATGACCAATATTATATGTTATACTAGGCTTGAAATATATATGGGCTTCTTGTGACATTTTGGACCTCAACACTAATCAACTGAAAATACGATACTAGTGCATTTGTCCAATTAGTTTCAACTAAACTACAAGTCATGCATTGCCAAATATAAACCCTAAAATCCATAAACAAACTGAGTTTTTTCCAGTAGAAACCTCTTGTGTTCTAGTACAATCCCCATTTTACATCTAGAAATGCACATTAAAAGAAAGATAGCAGGATCAAATAATCACGTAGTACAACTACTAGAGTCTAGCTGCACAAATAACTTTATAAGTGACAAAAATAGAATATAAATACACACAAGACCTTCAAAACATATGACTAGCAGCCTTACGCTAATTAGGAATACTTGTATAATTGGAATCAACAACTAATCCATACCATGTTACAAAGTCTGCTCCAATCGGCTATTATATCTTTCATGCATTTCATGACATAATAACCACATTGCACCATGCCAGGTTGAATGTACGGGGGCCAATATAAAGAGTTAGCGGAGTTAATAATTTTTGTCCTTAACGGTGATCCACTTAAGATTAACTGTTTTACTTTGTTTGGTCCCTGAATGGAAGATTCGAACCCCCCTAGACAAATCATAAACCAGCATAATATCATTAGTTGATTGTATCATAATGAAAAGTACGTCAAAATTTTAAGAAAATAGGAAAGGGCTTACTTGTCTACAACTACTCTGACATCCCCATAAATATCATTCCTTAATGGGTCCAAATAATAAACAATCATGGAAGAGAAGTCGATGACAATTAAGATCCAGTGGAACCTATGGCACATGAATATGTACATATTAGTCAATAAATTTCACATAATCAAATCTAAAGTAATAAGCTTTAAAAACTAGTCTTACGCAGGGTTATAAGGCATGTTTATAAGTTGATTTTTTTTTGTCTTCACCAGACAATTTGCTATATTTCGTGATCTTCATCCGCCTTTCGTTGATTATTTAAATTTCCCCCCAAGGATACAATAGCAGGGTTGATAAAGGCAAACATCTCAAGTAGACCTTCGTCCTTCATATGATCATATAATTACCTAAACAAAGTGAAATACGTCAAATAAGTGCTATACAATGTACCTCAAAAAATGCCATGTAGCATTGGCTTACCTCATGCATAAAGTGATACAAGTCACTGTAAGTTCAAGCATTGAAGTAAGACATGTAAGATCCTCTTTTGTAAGAAATATATAGAAGTGGTAATCAAAAGTGTTGACAGGATCTGCCCCGAATTCCTTAGAATCAAGATGGATTCTGTGGTTTTTCCGACATCGAACAGATGTCGGGCCCACTTACTAATTACGAACATCCTCTTCTCCTAAAACAAGAGAAAAGAGGGCCGAGACTTCTTCCAAAATTGCGGCAGACTCTCCCCTTAAAAGTGGACTTTTCCCAAAATTTCAACTTATCAAAACACAGTAATAATAATCCAACTGGCAGCACGCACAAAGTAAAAATACACAGTTTAAAATAAAATCACAATTTAAGATTCCCAAACTTCAACATGCACAGTCCACCCTCCAGGCACAATCATAAGTAATTGTAAAGACTCAATCCACAATCATTCATCAATCTAAAACGGGTTTCAGCCCTGTCACAACCACAAACATTTTAATCACATCCCTTCAGTAAAAGTTGGAATATAAACAGGCATTTAATCTCGCCTAAGTTTCAATCGGGCTTCAGGCCACCGACAAATTCAATACAAAACTCAACAAATATAATAAATAGGATTTGATCCCAATGACCAAATTAAAGTTCCAAAAATATAGTTTATCTCGTTGCTGCACCTGGGTGAGACCCTAGGCTACCTATGTACCCTTGTTGAGGGATCAAGCCATACGTAGTTCTTCAATTAATAAACCCAGGTGCGCAGACTGCTTTACCACAAGCTGGAAAATCCAACGCCAAGTGTGATAAAATACTAACAACCAAGTAAGCCCACACGCCGAAAAATCCCATATATATATTATATAAAAAATTTAATATGCCCTCCCTTAATTCAATTTTTCCCAAATTCTCAATATTTCAATGTACCCAATAATTTATTCATAGAATATAAAACAATAAACTCACAAAAGCATAAATTCCATATTAGAAAAGTAATGTTCATTTAAAACAATGTCCACTCACTTCTTAATAATCACAATTGAGTCCCAAGACTCGCTTTCACAACAAATCAATCAAGTATCTCATAATCATATATTTCACAACTTCAAATATTTCACAAACTTCAAATATCAAAATAATATCCAATAATTCCATAAAATACTATAAAACAATTTCATAATCCCAATATAATCAAAATAACTCGAATAACAATAAAGACTTGTTTACAAGGTTATTCTAATACTTTTCGAAGGGTGAAACTACCTCGGAAGACTCACGGTAAATCGAGAGGTCAAACTTCCCATAATGGTCAACCAGGCCCGTCGGGCCTATGACCTCCGATTTCCAATCCGAAAGTTCGTACGGGTTCAACAAAGCCTACTTAACACGTCCTGTAAGTTTGGCCTTGATCGAGCAGCCGGATCGCTCTTGATCAAACAGTTACCGGTTTACCTACCCTAGAATCATTTATTCAGAGTATCAGGGAATCCGATTCTTGATTCGTGAGTTCCTACACAATCCTAAAGGTATAGAGAACAACATACTTGGAATTAGAGCTGATCCAACGGTCCGAACATATCGCACCCGAATATCGCCGAATAGGTGTAAATCTGTTCGACTGTCATACGATAACCAAATTCGAATTCGAGCATACCGTCGTGCTTGGAACGACATTTGGAACATTTTAGAACACAATGGACAACCACACCATGGCCCACGTGTTGCCACACGTGCCGGTAGCACGTGGGTGGCTTGAGAAAATTCCACGACGGAAAATTCTCGAAACACCCTACAATAACTATACCAATACGTTCAGACTAACAAGAGGAACACTTTTTGTTCTTGGACCAAGGCCAAAAATTAGCTTGAACTAGCCGGAACAGAGCCGAAACCGTCAGCCAAAAATGGGTATATGGAACGATATGTAAAACCTCAAAATCAATCTACATTACGTATATAAACAGATAGAGCACGAATAGTAGATAAAGTTTCATACCTCACTCGACGAAAACGGTGGCCGGGTTCTCCGAAAACGGCGTCCGAAACTTCGAAAATCGCCAACACTTCTAGTCGTTTCAGCCACGAATCCTAGGGTTTTTTAGCTGGGAAATGTGCTGGGTTAGGTAGAGGACGAAGATACGAAGATTTTGGGACTGATATTGCCTGAAACGGTGACCGGAGTTGAGAGAAATTGCCAGCCATAGTGGCTGGCCTGTTTAGTGCGACGGGAGGGAGAGAGAAGGCTGAGCTGGGTTTTTAAAACAAAAATGCTAAGCTTACCACATTTTTCATACCACAATTGTACCACCTCTCTAATAAAGGTGGGGCCCCATTGTATTGGTGGGCTCCACCTCTATTAGAGAGGTGGTACAATTGTGGTATGAAAAATGTGGTAAACCTAGCATTACTCTTTTTAAAATCCAACTTCAAAAAAATTACGGTTGTGCCACTGCACTTCCGTTGACTTAACTTCTTCGTTAAAACTTCGATTTGGGCCCATTACGTGTCTACGAACTCATATCTATGAGCTCTATGCAATGGTGCCACCCTCATTTCCCTCAAATCCTTCTAAAAAAAAAAAAAAAAAAAAAAAAAAAAATAAATTTCACAGAAGATTTTTATTTTTTTGGTCAAAATTTTTCACAGAAAGATTAAATTGGATTAAATCGATTAAATTGGGTTAGGGATGTTACACAATTGGAGTTCACTTATATACCATCTTTTCATTTGTAACTAAGAAATTACTAATATGGTTCAGTATATAGTAAAATAGATCAATCATCATGTGGTTCACATGGCCGCTGTTTGAAACAACTCAAGAGTAGAAAATGAATGAAAATTGTTTCCACCCAACACATGACTGTAACAACTAGAAACAACAACGGAGATCCAACTAAGGGTATGCAATACCTTTCTAATTCTGAGTGCCATGGCCATTGGCCTAACATGTCTTCTAAAACAATTATCCAAAGCATGTCTTACATTCGTCTTCTTTTCGATTAATGTAGTCATTAACATTATCTTTACTGCTCTGATGTTCTTCCCACTTGATTATAGGCTCTATTACACTTAGAGAAACAATCTCATTTATAGTGACAGTGAGCTATATATGACAGTGAGCAAACCATATTCTACCTGTATACAAGCATCTGAACTAGAGAGGCCAGACACTCACTCCCTAATCCGCACGTCACAACTATATATGAATATATGCAAATACATACACCAAATTCTTGACCCTCTAAGCATAGTAAAAGCATATGAACAAAAAGGCAGGATCAACTAACTCCTTCATTGATCTGTTCACACTTCATAGGGAGAGAGAGGACACAACAAACAACACTATATTAAACTGAAACATTGAAAGCATAAAATTGTTCTCATGATATATACTCACACAATTCCTTTACAGTCATGCTTCCGTATTATCCATCATGTCCTCCTCTCCCAAAAATTAACCAAGAAACAAACCACCTCCTGACATTTATTCAACAAACTTATTACTCTTAATTTCCTCTTCTTATTCCCAAACCATTAACCTTAAAAATCCATCCTATATGCCAAGAAACCGACTTACAAACATTAATTAATTCAACATTAACATTCATTGAATTGGGGATAGATTACATCATGCACTTTCTTTGCGATTTTTGAAGCTCCTTTTAAAGAAAGATAAATATTATTCAACATTGATATTCTCTGTAACTACCAGAATCAGAATTTTTTTTTTTGTAGTGTCGCTATCTGGACTGCCTTTACTGGACACCTTGCTGGGAACCTCTATAGTATAGGTGAGATAGTCAACAAGGTCATTGGTATTTGTGAAAACACACAGTGAGATAGTCAACAAGGTCATTAGTATTTGTGAAACATACAGCATTATTCACAGTTTTGTTTTAAAATATAATCACCCTATAAGTTCTAGTCCTCCTTCACTTTCACCTCTTATTCAAACTGTTCAAACGAGTATTTAAGAAAGCAATAATAAAAAATCCGATATGCAAGGACCTGATTTTGTAAGCAGCAAAATACATGAATAGGGGCTGAAGGTTGATAACTGACATTCTAGCATTTTCAAGGGAGAGGGAAATAAATTGCTAATGTATTTAAAAGGGATAAAATCATGGGAGATTCACTAATATACCCAATATAGGAGCCCAAATTATAAAAAACCCTATATGAAATGGAATTTATAAACACACCCAAAGCCAATTTATAACATAACAAAAGGCTTTTAACTTCTTTTAAATTACAAATTTGCCATTGATTTCTTAAAACAAACCCAACCCAAAATTTCATAAAAAAGCCCAAAACACTCAATAGGGTATCAAAGTAATTTAATAATTAAAATTAAATTTAATAGTACCATTTGTCATTTTTTGGGTTTTTTTGGGTATGTTTATAAAAATGAAATGATGTAGGGGTTTATTTATAGTTTTAGTGCTAAGAATGGGTATATTACTAAATATCTCTAAAATCATATATAGATAGCTTCGGGGGAATGTTATAAGTGTCATCCTCAAAATTCACTTAAAAAGTGGAATCGTTTGTGACACAACGCATTGCAAAATTTCATGAAACTTCAATGGAATCATGATTTTTCAAGGATCTTTTGGCTTTCGTAGTAGGAGGTTGGACTACTGGTTTTGAACTTTTCCATTTTAGGTGAAGTTTGTTTATATTAGGGAAAGTTTCAGGATTTTAGGGAGAGTTGTACGAATTATTGGGAGAGTCTTTTGGATTTCCAGAAGAGAATTGCCAGTGAAAGGTATTTTCTCAACTTTATGGGACCCTGAAGAAAAATAACAAAGAAATATTAAATATACATCTATAAGATACACGAACACAACATTCTTTAATAATGAATCATGAATACATGTTTAAGAGTCTTCTCATTCTTTAATAATGGTACCTTTTCAATATCAACTTTCCTTTCTCCCCTAAACATATAAAATGAAACAACATAAATATTTGTGCCTAAAATATACCAAATTCCTTATATTAATTAATTCCCTACTTGTTGTACCTCCAAATCAGCCCCATGGAAACTCCATATCTTATAACTTCGATCAACACCTCTTACATATGGTCTCTTATCCCTTTAGGAGTCTCAAACATCAAATTTCTACATACTAGGCGTAGACATTTCATGCGTTTGGGGTTACTTGCATAACTTACAGCAAACGCAATAAATTGCTCAACACCATCTTCATATATCCTCATATCTCTTTGGACATTCAATCTTTTGACATCCAAGTTTTATTCATTCAAACTAAAAAAATCTTCCCTGCCATATAGACCACTTCATTCTTTTCATCAATGGTCACACATATTACCAAGTAATAATAATCTTACCAAGGTCATAGATTGGTGTTGTCGATTCAGCTGCGTCTAAATTGATTAGCTGCATCATCAACTTGTGACACTACCGCACAAGTGCACGAGCGGCATTTAGTAGTCATAACATAGTAAGTGCGAGGTGATCCCACAAGCAATGATTGATTATAGATTGATGCAATTGTGAGTGTTCGTGCCTAAAAAATAGAAACCAAGAAAGAGAAGAAAAGAAACTAAACTCAAGCAATATCAGATTAACCAAGTTCACTTTCGCTTTACAGAATTGATTCCTAGCTAAAGTATGATTAAGCCATGGTGTCTCTAGTCCTAACCTTGTATTCCTCATTTCCCTAATTTGATCATGTGTGTGTCGAACCTAAATAAGCATTAGAAATCAATTAAGCATTAGAAATCCATTAAGCATAGAAGATGTTTTAAACAACAAGCATAATCTAAATCCCGTGGTCGGAATGTCTTACATACTATTCTATTCGAGTTCAATTATAATTAAAGCATTGGGTTACTCTTAATCCCAACAAGAAGCAACATACAAGTTAATGGTGACTCAATCATTCAAACAATCTATGTACTTCAAAGATAATGCTATAGAACAAGAACCGAATTGAAACTTGGAACTAATCAAACTTGAAAAACGTAAATGAAGAAAGAAATAATGACAAATAATATCCAACTAAGAAAACTATAAAGGACAATAGCAAAAGGGTTTGTGTCCACCAATGCGAACTTAAAAAAAAAACTAAGAGAATTGAGGCCGAGACGGAGAGGAGCTTTAGAGTAGATGTTTGAGAGTCTCTCCCCCCCCCCCCTCTTTGGGGGGTCTTGAGCTTGAGCGTTGTCCGTCGCAAATCTCGCGACTGGTGCTCCGGGGCGAGGGGATGTGCGGCAAACACGTGACGTCCTTCCTTTTGGATGCGGTGCGGTTGTGCGCGGGCGTTGCCAGCCACGGGTCTACCGTGCGTCGAGGTGATGATGAGTGCGGGTAGAAGTAGAAGATGGTTTAAATGTTGCGCCTGTTTTGCGTTTCGATCTAATCAAACGATTGTGACGAGTGAGGAACGAATCCGGCCGTCGTTCACGACTGAGCTACAAGGCCGTTAAGTGGTGGTGTTGGTGGTGGGTTTTTAGGCGGTGCTCCGGCGCGTTGCTCAGAGAGCGACGGTCGTATGATATAGGGGTGAGTGAGGCGATAACAGAGGTGGTGTGCTCGGCGCCTTGAAAATCAAGGGTCGTATGATATATTGATGGAATGGATTTTCCTTACAGTCTACCACTACTTCCTAAGAAAGCAAATAAAGGTATTGAAAGTGCATTAAAGAAAATATAATTTGCTAGTGGGAGGCTTTTGGTTTGGTGTTTGAACCCTTTGAATGTAGTCCTGAGCTTAGTATTTATAGGAGTCCGGAGGGACATTCGAGGGCTGACAAGACCTGTGTGGTGGAGCCTGGCCGGGCAAGTTGGATAGTCAAATCGGCATTTGGGATCGTGAAGCATGGTGGTCTTGGGGTGAGAAGCAGTATGGTGGTGTGACCCCCATAAATCGGCACAAATCTCGGCCACGCCATGATCGTGGGTCTGCCCCTTGCCGTCGGAAGCATTTGATGGTGGTTGATGCTCGGCACCCTAAGTCGGTAGATTACTTGTGAGAATGTCTGCGCCTAACCACCCTGATTACTATTCACCAAATCCTGACTTCAGTCACTTCCCTCGTGCATGGTGTCTTGTGATAGTGGGTTTGCTGCGAAGTCAGAGGCATTACTTCATTAATGGAGCGTGGGGCCATGAGGTAGTGGCATCAACACGCTTTTAGATTCGTGTCTTTTGCGGCCTTCGGCCCGGCCTTCAAAACTGCCGGTCACGAGGGCAGAGGGGATTCTGCCCTTGGCAGTTTTTCTTGTGCTTTTAGGAGGGCGAAAGTTGACGACACGGCGAGGGCCAGGGCGAAGGGAAGTCCCTTCAATAGGTCTGACGTGTTTTAGTAGGCACAAACAGAGAGGACTCCAGTATTATAGATTAAGGGAAATAAACAAATATGTTGAGTATTTCTCTACCTACAAACCCATTCCACCACGTTATTATTGAAGAATAAACTTCAGGGACCGGGTTATACCATAAAAGAATTGCCAAAACTCTCTTTCTCTGTATCGCCAAATTCCATGGCCGGAGGCAAACGAGTACGTCCTATTCTACATACTAGTTGCAAATCTTTTGACCCCCATGTTCAAAAATCTAATCGAGCAGCAATACCATCTTTATTTTCAAGGATCTCAGCAATTGGTACAATGATACTATCGCAAACATTCTCTCATGTGCATAACCTCGAGCTATGTCTCACAGGGAAGGTAGTTCCAATATCGAGATCAAAGATATTGCTTCTTCTTCCAACAAACTAGGTCACCTGCTTCACATTATGAAGACTTCTTCTCGGTAATGGCTCGGGAGGCGTGCCCATATTCTGGTTGCACATTAAAAGTTGCATGTCGCCTACTATGATGGAGATGATTGGTACCGTTCTATGCACAATGAACAAATGTGTGGTTTTTTCAACTTGGACTAGGGGTATCATCGACGCTAATGGACAAGCTTATTGGATCCTTTAACACAAAAGAGAAGTTTCATAGGAGGGCGAATCATTAATGGTCGTCCACATTAATGCAGCGCTGAGTATGAAGTATCACCCATTTATGTGCATCATCCACTCTCTATTCCCATCCCAAATATTTTAACTCAGAATCAAAGGCTTAAGTAGACGCTAGATCATTTTCGGGTTGGTTAGCATCGGGAAACCTCATGAGGTAACATAATGACTTTCGTTTCAGGCACAGACATGGAGGTGAGATATGATGTAATAAGCAACTGGCCAGCAACTATATTGTACTTAGAGAACTGTGGGGATTGAATATCAGATGCAAGAGCCAGCTCAAGTGTCTCGGACCAGTACCAAAAACTAGGGCATTTATATCAAGAAGTTACAAGATAGGGAATCCGCCAGATGAGCATTGACCGGCATTGATTTTCTAGCAGCTGCCAAGTTAAATTCTTAGCTGTCTCAGTGATGGAAACATCCTTTTAAACCTTGCGGCATTGGCAGGAAATACCACACCACCTTCGCTGCACACTTCTTCAAGAATTGAATCTTTGCCTTTTTCCACCTTGAGGAACAGACACCACAGGAGGACAATTAGTTGAATCTTCATACTCCTTCCTGATAGAAGAGGAAATAATTGAGGCCTGGTTGCATTTTTATCATAACTCAGCCCGAATGCACCAAAGTCTTTTTTGCTCCTACAGAGATAGGCATATGTATTTCTTTCGAAGAAAAGCGCTGAGTTATCAATAATGCTGTAAAATAGAAATCACTCATCCCATGTTTTTGCCTTAAATTATACAAAACTTCACTAAATTCGATAACGTAGGTACTGTGTTAAAAAAAAAAAAAAAAAAAAAAAAAAAAAAAAAAAAAAAAAAAAAAAAAAAAAAAAAAAAAAAAAAAAAAAAAAAAAAAAAAAAAAAAAAAAAAAAAAAAAAAAAAAAAAAAAAAAAAAAAAAAAAAAAAAAAAAAAAAAAAAAAAAAAAAAAAAAAAAAAAAAAAAAAAAAAAAAAAAAAAAAAAAAAAAAAAAAAAAAAAAAAAAAAAAAAAAAAAAAAAAAAAAAAAAAAAAAAAAAAAAAAAAAAAAAAAAAAAAAAAAAAAAAAAAAAAAAAAAAAAAAAAAAAAAAAAAAAAAAAAAAAAAAAAAAAAAAAAAAAAAAAAAAAAAAAAAAAAAAAAAAAAAAAAAAAAAAAAAAAAAAAAAAAAAAAAAAAAAAAAAAAAAAGAGTGCTTCTATAGTGAGTGGAAAGTTATAAGGGGTTTTTTTGAGGGGTATGTAAGAGCCGTTGGATTTCATCCAACGGTGAGTTTTTAAAAGAGGGTGCATGTAGAACCGGGTTGAAATCTGACCCGTTTGGAGACCCAACTTCAGCTGAAGATTTTTCCCTCTCTGTGAAAAACTCAAGAACACAATCCTCTCTTTTTTAATGTAATGCAAATCCACAATTAGAAAGATCCAAAGCTCCCAAACTCTATAATCGCTCCATTGTCATCAGCTCCTTGGGAGGCCTGCGATCTATGGTATCCTCGGTATGATGATTAATGGCTTTTACCTAGCTATTGCCCTGTTTTGATTCTATGATTGAAGTGAAAACCCCTTCTCTTTTTCGTTCAGCAGAAGAGATTCCAGATGAAAGCAAAGTAGCATATCTCTTTTTCGTGCTGCTGCAGTTGTTCCTGGATTTTGGTAGAGATGGAGTCTCCACTACGAAAGAATCCTCTCTAATGTCCACCACATTCTTTGAAGCTGACTGAGTTCGGAGCTCCCGATTGACTTTGAGAGGTAAGTTCACTCTTGCTGGATTGATTTTGTTGGGTTTGATTTGTTTTTTGTGAGGGTGAGAAATTTGTCATTTGTGGCATCAATAATGCGTCATTTGCTCTGCTATCAATAATGCGTCATTTGACTTTGAGAGGTAAGTTCACTCTTGCTGGATTGATTTTGCTGGGTTTGATTTGTTTTTTGTGAGGGTGAGAAATTTGTCATTTGTGGCATCAATAATGCGTCATTTGCTCTGCTATCAATAATGCGTCATTTCCTTATGAATATTCAATATACTTAGTTGATTATTTTTGTTTGGAGGGGGATTGGAAAATTATGAAATGTAGGTAAAAGATCCTAAACTTAGGCTTAATGGCATTAGAAGTAAGCATTTGGAGAGGATATTGGGTGAAGTTCTGTAATTGCTGGTTTGAATTACATTTGAGTTCTTAGTTGAACATGTTGGTTCTAATGTTATTTTTTCCAGATTATTTCACAAGAGATGACGTAACTAGTATTAAATTTTGCTTGTGTTTTGTGTAATCAGAATCCAACAAGCTAGGCTATGCGTGTATTGTGTCAATTTGGGCAATGTTTTGTGTAAGTGGAATGCATTGCTAAGTTGTGATGCAGTAATGATTGATTAATGAATTAACATTTGCTATGCAGTAATATAGAAGTAGATCAATAATATACGTGGATAAAATGTCTGGGGGCTCAGAGAGTGATGACTCTGTAACAGCTAATGGGAGGGTTTACATTCCTGAAGTAAGAAATGAGGAAACACCAGCAGTTGGGATGAAGTTCGACTCGCTTGACCTCGTTTATAATTTCTATAATAGATATGCATTCTTGGCTGGCTTTGGTATTCGACTTCATTCCAGCTTTTGGGGGAAAAATAAGAAAGAGATTCTGAGAAAAGAATTTGTATGTTGCAAACAAGGTGCATACCGGAATGATGAAACTCGGGAGAGAAAAAGACAGCGGGGAATAAGTAGATGCAATTGCAAAGCTAAGATTGTGGTTGTGAAGACACATGGGAGCAAGAAGTATACCATCTCTCTTTTTGCAGAGGGACACAATCATAAGATGACACCCTCAGGAAGAATGCATTTACTGAGATCACACCGTCGTATTTCAGATTCTACAAAAGTACTTACAAAACAGTTGGGTTCGGTTAATATTCCCATTAATCAGAAGGTAAGTATTTTCGAGGTGCAATCCGGAGGAATGGATAAAATCGGTTTTATGAAAAAGGATATGTACAATCTTGAATGTAGTGTGAATGAGAAGCTGAGGAACCACGATGTTGAACTAGTGACCGAGTATTTTATGGCTGAACAGAAAAAAAATGAGGCTTTTTATTTCAAGATTGAGGGAGATGGCGATAACAGGTTTAGTCGATGTTTTTGGGCAGATGCAACTTCTAGACGGGCGTACGGGTTTTATGGAGATGTTGTTGTATTCGATACCACATTCAACACGAATAGATACGACTTGACATTTGCACCAATGTTGGGAGTTAATAACCATGGTCAAACAATTGTCCTAGCATGCGCATTTTTGAGCAAGGAAACGACTGAGTCGTTTATTTGGATGTTTGAGGAGTTTAAGAAAGCCATGCCAGGTGGCGAACCTAAAACGATCATCACAGATCAAGATGCGGCAATGAGCAGAGCGATTTCAATAGCCTTCCCGACTACATTTCATCGACTTTGCATATGGCACATCACATCAAAGTTCTCTGTTAAGTTACCACATTCTGCTTATAAGGAGTATTGGGGTGAATTCCAGAAAGCCATATGGGATACTGACAATAAGGATGAGTTTGATGCAAAATGGAATATTGTGGTTACAAAGGCTGGTTTGACTGACCATCCATGGGTAAGTTCAATGTTTGATTTAAGGGAATCTTGGGTTCCAGCCTACGCACGACACTTTTTTGCCGCTGGAATGTCAAGCAGCCAAAGAGCTGAATGTTCTCATGGTTTCTTCAAGCAATACATATCAAGGAAAAATTCGTTGATGGATTTCATAATAAGATTTGAGAGGGCACTTTCTCATCAACGTCAAAAAGAGTTAGTTGCTGATCACGTAGATGCATTTGAAGTGGCTCAATGTATTCTACCGATGCCAATGAACAAACAAATGGCTACCTTGTACACAAGGACAATGTTTCAAAAGTTTGAGCAAGAACTAATACAAAGTACAGCATGTTTCCTAGAGCTGAAAACAGAGGATGCTTCTAAAGTTGTCTTTAATGTGAGCGAAAGGAAAAATTGGGAAACAAGAGTGGCAGAAGTCGTATATGTCAAAGATTCTGACCACGCATCGTGTAGCTGCAAAAGATTTGAATTTGTTGGAATTATTTGCAAGCACATCCTAGCATTGTTCAGAAGGGACCAGATTGAATATATGCCCGATAAATACATTTTGAAGAGGTGGAAGAAAACTGCGAAATTTGGATTGGTGTCAGATGCAAATGGCAACGAAATTAAAGACTCTGCAGATCCTGGTCTTTTAATAAAGCGGAGTACAATGTCCCGACTTGCTTCAGATGTGGTTGAGGATGCATTAATGTGTGAAGAAGGATGTGAGCTACTGTCAGAGACTCTAAAAAGTTTGCAGGTGAAGTTGAAGTTGTTGAAGGATGGACCAAGTAATAACGAAGTTGGAGGGTCCAGCTCTCAAACACAATATATGAAAGACCCTAAGAGAGTAAGGTGCAATGGAGGGTCGAAACGAGTAACGGGAGCAAAGGAAAAGGCAATGAAGCGAGGGATTAGACACTGTCGGGAGTGTGGACACATTGGTCATGATAGAAGACAATGCCCAAGAAATTTGAACACACCGTAAGATGTTAACACTATTTATAATAAGACCTAAAATTTGAATAGGTAAAGTTCTTATGTGCTTCTGTTTGATGTTTATGCAGGACATCACCGTCGAACAATGACGAATCAACTCCAATAGATCTTAGTGACCCATTATTTGACGAATTTTACAGGATGCACGGACCAACTCAATGATTTAGGTTTCTATTATACGAAGCCCGGTTATTATGAAGACTAATGATCAGGTGAAGTTTTCTAGGTGCAGTTTTATTATTATTATTTTTTTGTTCATGTCCACCGATGAGCTCTGACTATGTCCATTGATAATTGAAATGAAAATTTGCTTGGTTTCATTCTTGCATGAAATTTGGACACATGTTAATTTTACGTCTTCTCCCTATTTAGAAATTTTCAT